TTTCCTGAACTCATGGCACCAATATCTATGATCTAACCCTACCTCTCTAGCTTCTCTTTCAAAAATATCTATCACTACTTCCATGTCCATTGGACCACCGTTACTTTTTAAACCAATCAGCTTGAGACGTGGGACATATGATTTTGTTTGTTCAACTACCCGTTGGTTACACAAACTTTGTTGCTCCAGTTCGAGGGTTTTTAATTTAACCATTTCTTCTGATTCTATTCTCAGTTTTTCTAAATCTCTCTTAGCCTCTCGTTCGGCTAACTCTATCTTTAGTTTTGTTTCCTCTCTATGTTTTTCTTCTGCTTCTGCTAGTTTATTTTCAGCCCACTCTAATAGTTTACTCCCTTGGCAAATTTTATACTTCTGACCCAATGCCAAGTAATAGCCAAGCGACAATTTATCTTCACCGCTCATTGTCACAGTCACGGTGGGCGTGTCGGGTAGTTTCTATTGGTCGAAATGAAAGACGAACAATGTCAAGTAGTGGTCAGTGAAAGTCCAGGTACGCAACTAGGCGGAAGGGTTAATTGCGGTCCGTGTAGCGTGACCAGCGGGGGTGTACGTCTGACACGTCTTATTCAAATGTACGACCTATTGTAACTACAGCGGTTAAGGTTACGCCCACTACAACGCTAGCAGGTAACAACTGTTTGTGACGCTTACGCCGAGACTGCCGTGTATGCTTTATGTTAACGAAAAATTCCCAACTAGCCTACCTAGAAACCCCAGTAATGGCAACTCAGGAAGTTTACTTAACCTCTACGACTATAGAGAATTTCACGCGGGTATATCTAACCCCAATGGTAGAAGAAAACCAGAGTAAGTTGCTTGCCGAGAGCACCGCACGAGGGCTGATACAAAAGGCACTTACCCCAGAGTGTGATTGTAGGTCAGGAGTGCTGGTCCAATATATCAGCAGGCTGCTGCACCTTCACACGCTCACACACAAAATACACTTGGCTTCTGGGTTGGTAGACTAAAGGACATCAACGATGAGTTCGGTGGACATCAGCGTAGTCTTCACACGGCTCACTTCGTGACTTGCTAGACTCTGGCCAAGGAACACTTCGTATGGGAACGTTGTTTACGGACGTCTGTTGCAGGAACAGCTTCTAACACGGATAGCGTCTTGCGGGAACGGTTGTTACGGGAGCTCGTTGCACAGTACAGTTTAGTTTACAGGAACATCCAATACAGGAGCAGCTGGTACCAGAACAGTTTCGTACAGGATAGCTTGATACGAGGGCAGTAACAGTTCTTGCAGGAACAGCTTCTTACTGGAACAGCTTCTTACTGGTACAGCTTCTTACAGGAACAGCTTCTTACAGGAACAGCTTCTTACAGGAACAGCTTCTTACAGGAACAGCTTCTTACTGGTACAGCTTCTTACAGGAATAGCTTCTTACTGGTACAGCTTCTTACAGGAACAGCTTCTTACAGGAACAGTTGCAATAGCGACAACTTGTGCAGGAAAAATATCATGCGGGAAGCTTCGATCTTGTGAGAGGCCCTTATGTCCGATAGGACGAGTCCCCAGATGTTGCAGACCAGGACTACGATGTTGCCGTCCGGTTGCTTAGTCGCCGGCCGAATACGTTGCTGACACTGGCTCGGGCACTAGCCAATAAGGCCGTCGTTGTCTAGGGGTATTTAATTATTCTACCCGAGTCAGCTACAGTGAAGTAATCAACGGAACAGGAGACCTTCTTAGTTTATGCTGTTTATTAATGTGCTGAATGCCTGTTCTGCTGAGCGAGGCTTCCCCTAACCGCTAACGTCGGGAGCGCTTGTGCGAGAGAGAGAGAGAGAGACTAACTAACCTGCCTGTATTTATACCCCTGTCTTAACCCCCTAGCTGTTCCCACGGGACAATGAGCTCAGAACATGTGACCTAACAAATTATCCCCCCTGGCGCTAACAACCCTGGCTACTGGTCAGTATAAAGACTACTATTGTCCTGTCAGAGCGGTCAGTCTCCTTTGAACGTGTCACCTACTGTCCATCCCTACTGTGTACCCTGTAATTATCTAATGAATAGGTGTTTGTGGGATTCTGACCTAACACGCCCCCCCCCCCACGAAGAAAGTTTACCCCCCCCCCCCGAAGATTTCAAGTGCCCCCCCCCCCGGAGAAAAAAGTCTGGAAGAAACACTGACCTAATGTGAGAGCCAGAAATTTTCTTGAAACGTGAGCAGGCCTATATAAAGTTACATTTACAAATCTAATTTTCCCATAATTTAAAAAACAAAACGCGTTGGTAGGACACAATGCAAGTCAGAAAAATGGACTATGTAAAGATTAGCCTTTAGCCTAGTGAAAATCGGCGATAAAGGATAGAGGAGACGTAACTTGTGCCCGTGACATGAAATCTAGGCCAAGATCGGAATGTGAGGAGGCTTTTGCTTGTGGAACCATAGACCTATATCAGATAATCATAGAAATTCGATAAAAATAATTACGTTACCAAAGCAATATTGTATGAATAAACATGCATTTGTTTAGCATTATGTTTATTTTACTTAGATCTACCTTAATGTGTGTGTGAAATGTGTGGTGGTGGTGGGGGAATGTGGAAAATGTAATTAAAAATGGAATACCGTGCAAGTCTATGATCACTGGTGGGTGACACCCATTTTGGTAAATAAATTGCAAGATAAATATAGGAATAAAAGGTGCTTGAATTTCAAGCAAAATTCTTCGAAATTAATAATTTAGCGGGCCCAAATGTATAACCTTAAGCCTTACTTAAAGCCTTTAAGTGGCTTTAAGTAAGGCTAAAGGACTTAAAGGTTATAAAAACATATGTCGCAAAACTTAAATATGAAAAGAAATGCGATATATAGCAAACATATTGGCGCAGTATAAATATAATTTTAAATACAAAAAAATAAATGAACTTCGATATACTATGCCAAAGATTCAAGAAGGCAATAAATATTTTGCAAGAACAGAAGTACACCCAATCCAGCTGCACTAAAGGAAAAGGCGCTGCTTTACTTGGCCTACTTAACCCAATTTCTTCCGCGGCAAACTACTTCAATTGTGATTGGTCTAAAATTAGCCAGAATTCGTACTTCATATTATGATTGGTCGCCGAACGAAAAAATAGGTCAACATGACCCGAGATAGCCATTGGGCCTGGAAGATAAAACACTATGGCATGGCCTAATCAATATAATATAGGCTAGATCTAGCTTAAGTTTACCAAAGTATATATTTAGTATATAAATACTTGAAATGTTCGGCACTGTCACAATGTATACATTTTCTCTCTTCGACAAAAGTTTTAAAACGAAATTAATCATCGAAAACAATTCTTGCGTTAATTGGGAATCTTTATGCCGACGAAATAGCACGGATTTTGTGTTCATATGACGACATATGATGATATAGAATCTAGATCTAGATAATATAGATCTAGATCTTGATAATATAGATCTAGTTAACTATAGATCTAGTCATCGCAATTTATAGCCTAAAGTCCTTATTAACGTAATCACGCGACAAACAAATACAATTCCTATTAATAACCCTAATTAATGACAAATAATGACGTACTAGCGTAATCGATATTACAACATCCAAGTCAAATGCTAAAAAATTAAGTGATCTAGATCTAGAGATCTAGATCACTTAATTTTTTAGCATTGTTTTATTTTAAAAGCTCATTTGGGTAATATTGATTGCACACATTAGTTGATTTTTTTTTTTGGTAACAATAATGTTTCTTTCTGACTGATACACGATCCAAGACTTTTAGTGAAGACATTAAATTAATAGAAGTCGAGATATGAATTTTTATCGGGGATGGGGTTATCAATTTTAGACAAGGTCTTAAAAATATTTGTTATTATTTAGCGTTATTTGTACTTTTAATAATAATACACAAATAAGTATGAGATGAGAATTTAAGACTCTAGGTAACAGTAATGTTACAATTCTAAACAACATTTCATTATATATTATGGGATTGTGAATTACTTTATCTTTATAGATCTTGATTCTGTTAGGATATTATTTTTAAAAAGCATTTTAGTGGTTTTACAGTATGAACTCTAACCCATATGTAGAGCAATAATTATCAACATAAACTAGGTAGAGTAGTTTAGACTTGAGAGCATAGTAGAACATGGAGTAAATTTGATATACCAGTATATTTAGTATGATAAAACAAAATTGGTCAATTATTCTAATAAGAATACAGAAATGACCTATTTTAATTCTTACATATTGAATTCGATTTTTGACAGATGGTCTATTACTAATATTAATATTTAATATTTGTAGGCCTAACCTAATTATATTATTAGATCTATCTCAATCTGTATAGATCTTGATCTATTTCTAGCAGTTAGTTTAACGCAATCAAGTTTATTTTAAAAATCTTTCTTAGGTCTAGAATCTAGATGTGATAACATACCAATTCAAAGAGAAGTCCTTTCCCTATGAAAAAAATCACAATGGTGTTATATCCACTATTACGTCACTGAGGCAAAGGACGTTTGCTCCAGCCCAGGAACTAGAAATATAGCACTTTGGCGAAAATCTAAATGTAAAGATACGGTGACCCATATATTGCATCGATGATGACCTCAAAATACTAGCCAGGATGGTTATCCGCGGTTTTGGAAAAATCTAGAAATAAAAATAAATTACATTTTACAATGTTGATACACATTAAAACAATACACAAGTGCAGTAAACAAACATTAGCTGTGTAAAATGCTACCACTACTGCAAGGCGCTATGGAGTATAACTAAGTGCCTGACCTAGTTATTGCCTGAACAAAGCAAAATGCGGCTAAGCGGAGGCCTACAAAAACGTCAAACTGGGTAAACCCGTGAAAAATGCCCCCGATTTTAAAAAAAAATTAATATTATTAAATTTGTATACGAGGCGCTAGTTATGTTTAAATATCGTTATCTGATTGAATTAATAATTTATTTACTATAATGCTATTTTAAAAAACAATATATAATCATAACATTACCAATGACTAGGTCTTGCTGGATCCTATGGCCGTGTTTCTCTCGTGGGTGACCGACTTTTCTCCATCTCCACATGACCCACTTTTGTCTCTTTGACCCGTGGCGGACTTTTTCCCGTCATTCAGAAGGCAATATGGTCGCCAATCAAAACACACCCATTTCCGTATTTCTTAAGTAAAGTTTGATTGTTTATGGTTAGCTACAGTTCTTGATTTTCATAAGAACAAAATTTAGGCACTTAAGCCCTAACCCTGCCTAAGTTTTTAAGTAGATCTATTAAAGTAGTTTGGCCAAGTAAGTAGATCTAGTGACTGTTTCAATGTTTAACTTAGATCTAAGTGTAGATCTAGACTCTAGTAGTAGATCTAGATCTAGATCTATTTGAATTTGTTGTTGTATTGTGATTGTCGTGTTGTAAAAGTAATAAAGTAAAGTTATTTTAAGTTATAGTAAGAGTCAAGTAAGACTATAGTCACTATAGTCTAGGACCTTTTTTTGTCATGTTATTTATTTAGGCCTAAATTTGGATTATACTAATTTATATATAGATCAAGGCCTGTATATAAATTAACCATTATTACTAATTTATTATTAACCTAATTTCAGCAAATCTCCTTGGAAAAGTTGTAGCAAAATGCCTCACACCATAGAGAAAGATTTCAACTACAGCTTTGAGACAAAAACAACCACTTCAAATCTTAATGTCCCAATTACAGTGCCTATGAACAATTCTCCTCAAGAATTTGTAGGGCGACTTGTTCAGTTACACAATTTGCCATGTTTTGTAGTTCGAGGTAACTCTATATGTTTGATTTATAAACATTGTGTTTTACATATTTAACATAAAGCTTTCAAAAAATATAAATACATGTTGTCGTTCACTCTTGTTACTATAGAACTAGAAGAAAAGCTTGAAGAATTTGTGACTAAAGAAGCTACCTGCCTTCATGACAGAAATGCAGATGAATCAATCAATCAAGTAAAAATGAGTGACACTGAGGTAGAAAACCTGTTAAAACAGTGGGTGACTGTTTATAATCAGGTAAGTTGCATATTTTGTTTCAGGGAATTTAGAGAATCAGATGTCTCACTGCAAAACTCTTTATTTTTAACTTGATTTACACCATAGGGTTTGTATTAAAATTATGAGTAATATTTTGTTAATCACCTTTTCAGGAGTTGAAGATGTATGCAAGACCTCACCAGCTAAGCCAGGATGAAAAGTTTGCAGAAATTTATCATACACTTATACATTCGCCAGCCCTGGAGACCTTACTCAATTTAGAACATGAATACTCTCTTGGCGTTGAAAGAGTGACCAAAGAAAGAGATAAAGATCTTCAACACCTACAAGATAAGTAGGTATTTTAAGCTTAAGAATTATTTTATTTAAGAGCAAAATGTTTCTTGTTTGTAAATAAGTTTTTAAATGTAAGAGACTCGCGCAATTTATTTAGTTTAGAGTAGTGTATTTACAAATTGTCTGAAAATAGTTGCTTATCATTTTTTTCAAAGACAGCGAGCTGAAATGGATGAAGCATTAAAAAATGTTGGCAGTGTATACAAAGATGAAGATATCAATTTGCTAGCTCAAAGACAGTTTGAAAACACCCAGGTATGTTAGTTACGCTTTACCTAGAATATTCACAATGGTAAATTTGATTTGTTGTTTAACCATAGATTTGTGCACTTTACATTCAGGCATTAAAAGATTTCTTTAGACTTCTGTTCGTTGACTTTTAATCATTAGGTAGTAGAAAGTAAATGGACAAGCGAACTACGAAACTTACACGAACAACAAAAAGCTGAGTACAGGGAGTGGGTATTTCAAGTTCATGAAGATTCACAAGGGAAAGCTCCACTCCCTCCATATGTGTAGGTTCAATTCTCACTTTAGGTACATTGTTCTGCTTTTGCCTGTCTCATTTCATTCTATCTCTCACTTGTGGCTATGGTTTGTTATTGTTATCTATAAATGTAATGTTAATATTTTTCAATGGGTACCCAGGAAGTTGTGTTGTAGTGGGTTCTTTTTGTTTTTATTTCTATCCTGGAAAATTGTACCAGAATTTATTTTTGTTGATGGTTAGAGCTATAAAAAAAATTGTATTGCAATACATTATTTTTTAGCAGGAAAGAATATTTGTTAATTATTGCTAATGCTGTAACTTTAAAAAAAAAAACAACTAGTGTACCCAGAATGTCAGTGTTTGGGAAAAGTGCATAACTTTGATAATAGCTATAAACATGGATTAAATTGAACAATACAATAGAAAAATTATATTATTAAAAGTTTGTATTTAAATAATTCTGGAATCAAGTTCTTCGTTTTTTCATAAACAAAAGTGGAGTTCATAATATTTATTTTGCAGCCAAAGGCTACGTAGTCTGTCTGCCAGTCTACCTGACGCTGAAGCAGAAGAAAGGCACGCCCATATATCTAGATTAGAAGAAAGTTTTACTATACATTTAGGTGGGTCTTCATTATTTAGAAACATACTCAACAGCTGTCTTTTGTTGTAACCAATTCTTCAGTTCAAGTGTCTCTCATTGTGTGCTTTTATTTTAAGGTGCCCAAATGAAAACAACACACAACTTGAGATTACTTTGTACTGATGTTCTAGATTTGTGCCGGCACAAACCTCACACAGTTGGGTAATGTAGTTAGTATATAGATTGGTTCCTGACTATTGATAGATTCCATATCATTAGCTGTTAAAGGGAGAGCACTAACATTTCTCTTATTCTTTCAGGGGCCTGGTTATTCCTCAGCCACAGAGGTTACAGACTGCAATGTCTTTGTATTCAAACAACCTTTGTGGATTGGTTTTATTGGTAGACAACCGTCTTAATTCATATACTGGTATTAAGCACAGTAAGTGGGTTTTTATAATCCATTCATTTCCCTGACTTCTACACTGACTTTACAAATGTGGGCTAAGTTTTATACTCTCAAGACTGAATAGAGTATTTTTCTTTAAATCAAAAGTTGGAAAAAGTGTCCACTTTTTGTATTGTTAAAAGTAAAGAACCACAAATTCATCTGTTTTTTAATTGACCCTTGTTTTCTAAAGTTGTTGTTTTTGTTGATCTGCAGAGTTTGCTCAAATCTGTGATAGCTCAACTGATTTCCACTTCCCCCCATTAGATGAACAGTTTCATGTAATAGAACAACAGCTGCCAAAAGCTGCCCAAGTAAAAGCTAAAAAGAAAGGCTCCTCTGATGAGGTGGATGATAGCAGCATACACAGCTCAAGTAGTAGTTCTAGTGAAGAGAAGGTTCTCTGCTCAATTTTTTCTTTATTTATACTAATTTACATCTCCATTAACCTACACGTCGTAAGATTTTATAAGGATCATAAAAATTAATCGCAATCCAATTTTTATATTAAACGCTAAATATCCCCTTAAACTTTGTGTTTCTTTTAGGAAAAAGCTGGTGATAAACGGCTCCACTCAGGTGATTTCTATCTAACTAAACATTCCAACCTGTCTGAAGTTCACATCGTGTTTCACGTGGTCACTGATGACAACCTGCGTACCTCAGACATAACATCCAGACACCCAGTTATTCTAAGCATACGAAACATCATCAAGCTGTGCTTTCGTTATGACATTGACACTGTGACCATTCCACTTTTACTGACTCATGAAATGTCTGAGGTAAGATGTAAATTCTCATTGTCACTATAATAAAAGCGGCATTTTAAAATAATTGGGAATACTTACATTTGAAAATTTGTTGATAAATGTCTAAAATGTCTTTATCATTGTTTAATTTTTAAAATTTCTTCGTAAATTCTTTTCTTCTTAGGAGATGACAATTTCATGGTGTATGAAAAGAGCAGAGCTGATGTTTAAATGTGTTAAAGGCTTTATGATAGAAATGGCTACCTACAGTAGTCAGGAGTCAAGAACCATACAGTTTTTAGTGCCCAGGGTAAGTAAATATATCCATTTAAGAAATTCTACCTTTAAGTGGCACTCTGTTCTTAACATACTAATCCAATTTTATTATTTTAAAAATCTTTTTCAGGGTTTGTCAGAGGAATTGTTTCATCAAATTAGCAACATGATTCCTACAATTTTTAGATTGTCCAACCCACTAGTTGTTAAATCTTATTAAATTCCCTTTTCATTCCTTTTTTGTTTGGACATTCAATTTATTGTAACTTATTTTGTTGGCTTTATGTTATTGTCAAAGTGCTTCATTACAATTGAAACTAAAATTAACTTATTTATTTGTAAATAGTTACTTATTTATTTAATAAATGAATACCTACCTACCAACCTATCTGATAATTTTTACTATCAATATTTTAGTCATACCAATATCAGTAATTTGATTTTTCTTGTCATGACTTTTGCATTTAAAATAAATAATGTCAGTGCATTGAACTTTGGTTTAGATCTTTTTTTTATGTTCTGTTTTTGTAAATTTCTTTTCAAATGTAGTAACTTTTAAAATGAAAACATTTTAAAAGTTTTTAAAAAGAAGCTTATGATTGATTTTAAGCTTTTTCAATCACTATATTGTAAGTTTTGCACAATATTTTATTGTGCTGTAAAATGCATTCCTCCATTACTGGTATTAAAATTCAGACAGCTCATTTTGTACATCAAGACTTAACATAAGGTTTAAAAAGTTTTACTCATAAATACAATTGTTACCGGCAAATAAGCCAGACAGACTGTAGTGTGACAGGGTTAAAAATTGGGTATTTCTTTCACCCATTATACTAGACACATAATTCTGCCAGATGTACCTTAGAGGCAGTTTGGTCAGGGACAACCAACAGTCTTGAGTCTGGGTTCTGAACTCAAGGCATTTGGGTTAACAAGAACACAATCTATGGAAGTACTACACAGTTTGATAGTTTTACTAAATGATAGATCTGAGGTTGTGCTGGTCACACAGACGCCTAATTTAAAACACCTTAAACTGAAAAGTCTCATCGACTGGCATATCTCATCTGAACTTGAAAAAGGATGTGCCTTATGTATGTTAATTATTATCGAATTCCCAACATTCATAAATAATATGCACTCACATGCATAAACTAAACAACAATATAGACTTTAATCTATCTAGATATATTTATAGATGAGCTAAGACAATAACAAAGAACTATCTACCAATTCAAAGAATAATGTTTTTTCCAAGTTAAAGAATCTTACTTTTGTAAATTCAAATGCTGCTGCATACATAACTTTGGTTCTGGCACAAAAACAATGGATGAAAGGTGGATTGGAATGTTAAAAACAAGGCTAATGTGAAAATAATCTTACAATAATTGATGACCCCAGTTGCAATCAATTAAAATTAAATATTTCAGCGGTATAAAGACTAAAGATCAGTACTCTTTGTATATCTGTTACAGAACAACAAAACATTAACAAACATGACCCCACATAAAATCCTAAACATAACTTTCTGCAAACAGAGGAGGAAATTTTATCAACTATGATGAAACAAATATGATGGAACTAAAATAAGGTATTTTACATGATTTAAAGTAATTCAGCGTTGAACTAAACTAAATACTCATGCATAACAGATTTTTGTATGTGGATGTATGCAGGGGGGGGGGGGGGAGGTTATGAAGAGACCAAAAATATTTAAAATATTTTCTGTTACCTATAGTGATAAACAGCATTACCTTTATCTGCTATCTTGAATTTTCAGTTCAGCTATCAATTTAAAGTTTTTATTTATTCCCAAAACAAGGATGAGGGTAGGGGTTTGGCAAGCTGGCTTTGAAAAAGGAAACTAGTCTAATGACTTTTACAACTTTCCAAAAGAAAATACTAATAAGCAAAATGGTACTAAATCAATAATCAATCTAAAATAAAATATTTAGGACTGATAAATTTCCAATACCTAAAACCCCAGTGAAAAATATTTTTTAAGCATTATTGGGTGACTGACTACAGGGTGTGTGTGTGTGTGTGTGTGTGTGTGTTATTTATGACTATTTTTGTATATGCATTGTTATCACAAAGTAAGGAACCAATACAGAAAGATAAAACAAAATAATATCATTAATAAATTAGTTCTTTTAGCTCTGTACACAGAGACCCATTCACACTTTGTTTTTATTGGAGTAACAAAGTTAAAAATTCTAACAACAACATTGTATCTAATATGAGTAAAAATCTATTGAATGAGATGTTACACATAAAAACTATGCTAGACAGTGCTGCCACAATCATATTGTGTGAATTTGTTTGATCAATACAATACTTTTATGAACAAAAACATTTTTGGAGCAGGCAGTTTGAAAACAAAACCATACCTTTACAAAACTGCTACATCCAAACCACTTTTTTCAGTTGCAATAATTAAATTAAAATTTTTTTTCTGATGTCCAAAGTAGACTTTTGCATTGTAATAAAAATGTTACATGTTTAAAAACCAATATGACATCCCCAATTAGCATAACGAGCCTTTATAAAATAAGATGAGAAGAAGAAAAAAAAAGGAAGAAAAGTTAGGAAGATTCAGGAGGTTAAAACAAGCAGAGGAAAAAAAAATATCATCCGGTGTGATGTTTGGGGTCCTTGTATGGGTAATGTTCTTGGACCATTTGAGCTAATTGTGTGAGCTGTTGCGAGGCCGAGGCAGGTTTCCCCCCAACCGCAGCGGCAGTCATTATTGGCATGTTGTTGTCAGAGTCCACATCCATGCTGCTCTCACTTGCCAGACTGCTGACGCTTATCATGCTGGCGTCGCTGGATACAGCCGAGTCACTGGATGGGGTCTCTGGGCTAATGGCGCTGTTGGCAGCCTCCCTGCCTCCTCCCAGCCTCCTCTCCTCCTCAGCTTGCTGGAGGCCGTGTAAATTTAACTTATGAGCAGTGAGGCCACTGCCGCCACTAGATGGCGCTTTTAACTCAGTACGAGTTGAAGAGAATTGTTTTGGTCTTGCGCCAGAAGCTTCCTTAGACTGGCTGTTTCCGGTACCGGTTGTTACTGGGTCCGCAGGTGGAAGTAGTTTAGGGATGACAAGAAAGGAGTTGGGGTCAACTTGATGGCAGACCAACGACAAAGGCTGGGTTGGCTCTGTTTTTAGTGTGGCTGGTGATGACAGGCAACGTCTGCGTACAGGGAGATTACTGGACTGGGAGCTGCTGTGACTGGTGGGCCGGCTGAGTGGTGAGGCAGTGCAGACTTTGGTCACTGGGTTCTTTTTGGTCGAGTCTAACGTGACGGGAGCGGAGAGCCTTCTGGCCACTTCTGCTTTGTTTGCAAGGATCAGGGAGGTGCTGGCGTCTTGCTGCGAGGAGCTACTTCTGCTGGGGCTGTGGGATAAACTGCGCTGGAATCTGAAAATACTTTTCGGAGCCACTGTGTTAGCTTTGATATTTTCATCTGAACTGTGTCTCTGTCGACCTTTTAGTGAAAGATCTTCCATGGGAATCTCCAGACTTCCATTGCTTGCATCCCCTGACCTGTTCACAGTCCTCAGCTGGTACCTGTAGCTGGGTGAGGCGACCGACTCAGGACTAGATATGTGGTTCAGTGACTGAAAGGCCATGGCGGATGTGGCATCCTCTCCCACCTCAATGGACCCAGCATCATTCACATCCACGCCCAGCTCCTCCCTGCCCAGGATGCTGTCCCTCATGCTGGCTGCCTTTGCCCCCACCCCGGGAGAACTGGGCTCCTGTCTGCTCTTGCTGCGCTGGGCAGCTTTAGCCTGCAGCAAGCGCCTTTGCTCTGGGGTGACCCTCCTGCCAGACTTGGAGCTGCTGACGGAGGAGCTGGATGACGAGAGGGAACCTGATGAGGCTGGCGTGGTGGTGCTGGTCACCAGACTGAGACTTTTCTTGGGATCCACCCTCACGGGGTGACTTCTTCCTGAAATCATTCATCTCCTTTAGGGCTTTTCATTTACATACATGCAACATTGTAAGCAGAAACAACTTAATTCAATTTTTTGTGATTTTAGCTTCACTGTGCAACTAAATGATTAAGAAACATTTAAATCATGGATAATGTATGTAAAATATGTTACTACCAAAAATGGTAACAATACAAGATAAGACCGAAAGATGTTTGTACTTAAAAGATTTTCTTACCTGGTATAGGTCCAGCTCTAGCAAAATGTCCCCTCTCCTCGCTCTGGGATATATCCAGTAAGCGCTCAATTGTGCTCATCTTCTGCTGTCTAGCTCTCTGTCTACCTTTGATTAGCCTTTGCTTGGCGGCCATACAGCGTATGTGGTCGTCAAACACAAACTTGGCTGACAAGATTGGAATGGGCTTGGCATGGATTGAGGACTGGGGTTTGTGGACGACGACATGAAGCAGACGGCTGTCATCCTTGTCACCAGACACCTCCACATCCTGGGAATAAGAAAAAAAAACAGATGCTTGACCGGGACATCACACATGCCGCAATGCTAATTTAAATCAAATATTTTTTTTTAAAAACTAGCCCAGAGAAAATGAAAGCAGTTGTTCAGACCTGTAGATATCCAACAAACTTGACCACACCCCAGCCTAGACGTTTCAAGTCTGGCTCAACAAGGATCAGCTGCACTGGGTCAATCACCAGGAATCTTCTCTCTTGTTTGCGACTGGAATTTTTAAAAAAGTTTAACTGCTAAACAAGTGTTATTTGCATATTTTTCTGAGAGATGAATTCAGGAAAAGATGTCCTAATAGTCAAACGCTAGCTTAAGGGTATGAAGCAGCGGGGTTGTAATGAAATGAAGCAGTGGGGTCGTAATGAAATAAAGCATTGAGAAATATCCAATGTTCTATGAACAAAATTACCTTTCCCTGTAGACCACTGTACAAGCTATCAGATCACTGTTATCTGGTTTGGTAAAAGTAAACAAACATTAGGTTAAGAATACCATCACAGCTAATTTAACTAAAATAAAGCTTTACAATTCTATAACCTAAATGTTAGCAAATTGACACACACAAATTGATGACGTAAATATTTTCTGAACTTACTTAAATCTAAGACATTCTCAGTTTGTATACAATGTTCCTCCTTGGTGAGTGGCAGCTGAGACTCCACTTCATGCATCAGTGTCAGAGACAGGTCCCGTACCATGAAGAACACCCTGATGGCCTGCAGGGGTTGATAAAACATCTCAACACACATATACAGACATGCAAGCTAAACATCTACACAGATAAAACATCTCAACACACATACAGACATGCAAGCTAATCATCTACACAGATTCAAAGTCACAAGCTAAACATCTACACATATAAAGACACACAAGCTAAACATCTCAACACACATACAGACATGCAAGCTAAACATCTACACAGATAAAACATCTCAACACACATACAGACATGCAAGCTAATCATCTACACAGATAAAACATCTCAACACACATACAGACATGCAAGCTAAACATCTACACAGATAAAACATCTCAACACACATACAGACATGCAAGCTAAACATATACACAGATACAACATCTCAATGCACATACAGACATTCAAGCTATACATCTCAACACACATACAGACATGCAAGCTAAACATTTACATAGATTCAAAGTCACAAGCTAAACATCTACACATATAAAGACACACAAGCTAAACATCTCAACACACATACAGACATGCAAGCTGAGCATCTACACACGCACACACACAGACACACAAGCTAAACATCTACACATATACAGACACACAAGCTAAACATCTAAACACAGATACAAATACACAAGCTTAACATCTACACAACTATAAATACGCAAGCTGAACATCTACACACACATACAGACACATAAGCTAAACATCTACACACATACAGACACACAAGCTAAACAAACATCTAAACATATACAGACACAATCTAAACATCTCAACACACATACAGACATGCAAGCTGAGCATCTACACACACATACAGACACATAAGCTAAACATCTACACACATAAAGACACACAAGCTAAACATCTACACACATACAGACACACAAGCTAAACAAGCATCTAAACATATACAGACACTCAAGATAAACAAGGACAACAGGTTATAAAACACAGACACAAACATAACATGGCCTGCGCACATACAGACATGCAAGCTTAACAATTTTAAGTGAGTCTTAACTGCAGAATTTTAAAAACATGTATAATATCATATCTGGGAAAAAATCTCACAGCAAGTTCATGTTATACAAAATCATTTTCTTGGGGAATATGTATACTAACAAGCTGCGAGTTGTTTTTTTCTTGATATATATAGTATACAAGTAATCATGTGTTAACACTGTAAAAGAATATGGTACATCCAACCTGGTTTCTCTCATTCTAGATGGGTTTGTCAAGAGCACTAAGGATAGTGTACATCAAACTCTTAAATATCTCTTAACCTATGGGGCTTGGTCAATAATTTAAAGGATATTGTACATCCAACTCGAATTTCTCAGATTCTAGATGGGTTTGTTAATACTTCTAAGGGTATTGTACATCTAACTCAATTTCTCTTATCCTAGATGGAATTGTTAATAATTCTGATATTGAACTTTCAACTGTTCAATTTCTCTTATCCTAGATAGTTTTGTTAATAATTTTTATGATAGTGTACTTTCAACGCTTCAATTTCTCAGTAAACATGAGAGTATTACCCTTCTAGCACGTTCTACCTCTCCACACGGCAGTCTCTTGTTAAAGTCTATCCCAGTGAGCGGAGTTCCAGTTGGGGGCAGAAGTATTGAAGCATCTTGCATCAGGTACTCCACATTTAATGGCCGAGTCTACAAATTTAAAAATAACAAACAGGGTTAAATTCTACTAAAGATTTCTTATAGAAAAAAAAAAAGAAATGCAATGAACATTGGTGAAATCATCCAGAAGAAAAACTTGCCTTCATTTCTCTGTATTCATCTTCAAACATGTCCAGGAAGATTTCCTCACTCTGGTGGATAGAAAAACACGAAAACTTTTACTGCGATCTTGAAGGCTATTTGCAGTATGGAGCTTATATTTTCTCCAATGTAATCATTAGCCTTAAATCTAACAACTTGTAGTTCATCTTGATAAATGCTATGAATTTTAACATTTTTATTCAACTTGATATTTTTAAAAATCATGTCATTTCTAATCTATATTTTGCTGTCGACTGTAAAAAAAACAACAAAGATTCCTCTTTAGAACTATCAATACATTAGACAGATGTAGTAGAGATAATGTTTCCTGACCTCTGCATATGAAGAGATAATGTGGTCAGCCCTATGCCCAGCAGCCATTACTTTCCCTAAAATAAGTTAGGTATCCATCAGAGGGTTCCACTGACTTGAACCCAGATTCGAACTCAAGACTTTCAGGTTAGCAGTCTAGCCCTATACCGCCAGGCCACGCCATCCCACAGTTTACATACATTTCTTTGTCTAAATCTAACTCTCCATAAAAATCACCTTATAAAAATTCCTCAGGGACTGTGTGCAGCACTCTCTAGCGTTCTCAATACAAGCTAAGTGCCTGTCTTGCAGGTAAGATTTGTCTTCCTTGTTCACAAGCTGCAGCAGTAGCTTGATGCTGATCTCCAGTGTGGCCAGGCGAACTTTGCTCCCTGTGAAACAAGGCATTATTGTACTTTTTACCACACCAAGTTTGCCAGGTTTTTTTAAACAAAGCAGTAATCAAATGATATACCTGTTTGGCATGCCAGTTCTATTATCCTGATCAATCGCTCTACTAGAAACAAGTTGTAGTTTTTCTTGCACTAGAAACAAACAATTATTAGAATATTTATAAATCATCAGTCACTGTAAAATAAATGTACCAAGACAAAATGTAACAGAGCAGTTGTTGAGGAGCATTTTAGGTTGTACTAGAGCTTAGTTAGACACTCCCACCCTATCTTCACATAATCCACAAAAAAAAATTTAATACATACATCAGATCTTTCTGTTGGCATCAGGACACTGTCCAATAAACTTTGAGAAATTCCTGAAATTTTCAGTAAACGTAACAAGTTTAATGTAACATTGGTTCAATGACATTCTATAGTCTATAAACTTCAATAAACTTTACAACTTAAATGTTCTGCAGCAAAGCTAGGTTATTTTGTATATAAATTGGTGATGCATGGTATAAAAAGCCTATCTGATGGTCATTTATTTAAATCATGTCCAAAAAACTTAATTTTGTGGTACATATTTCTTTCAAATAATTATATAAAAAGCCTTGTCTGCCTAAGTTCCTAATAAAAACAGGAAAAAAAAATTGTTATTTACCTTTGCTCTTGCCCATTGCATATAGCAGACATAGTGCAAATAGGGCAGAATAATCATTCTCACTACATTCCAGGGCATTAAAGATGGCTTCTAGGTAAGGTCTGGAAATACATTAATGATTACCATGCAGGTTAGGAAAAATATAGGATAAGCAACATGGATAAAAATTTAGATTTCAACAAAACTGGGGCAAGTTATATACAAAAATATCTTGTAAAAACAAATTGTAACTTCATTTTGTAAACAAAAAATGGATTGAGAAATCTGTAGGACAAGATGTATAACTTGTGCTACTTTTGTCAAAAATGTGCTGATGCTACCCTACTAAAACAGACCATAGCAACAAAAAATGTCACTGTGTTAACCTGTTATCAAGAGAAAAAGCAGTCTGGATGTTTTCAGACATAGGAGGTGGTCTAGGGGGTGCCAGCCTTTGATGTGTTCTGCCCATCAGCTTCTCCTCGTCAGTAGAGTTCTGGGTGGGACTGGAGAGCTCTGTGTCACCTGAACAAACTTCACTGCTGGGACTCAAAGCGCCCTCTGTCAGCAAACATTAGCACAAATGAACTTCAAAAGATAACCAAATAACATGATTTATTTTCATTACAATTTAGGATAATTTTTTTCCAAGATAAAAAAAAATTTCTTTTTTAAAATCTGGTTTTCAGGGAAATATTTTAGATTTCGACATTTAAAAAATTTTGTTTTTTACCTTTTCAACCAACTTTTAAATTTGTAACTCTCTTCAAGCTAAGTTTATATTCCCACTTATGTATAGAAACAGGTATTATAGGGCCATGATGGTAACACCTCTGACATGACCTACCTGTAGATGGTGACACCTCTGACATGACATATCTGTAGCTGATGACACCTCTGACATGACCTACCTGTAGATGGTGAACTCAACACCTCTGCTGCAGCCGCCCCAGCTGCAGGAGCTGCCGGCTCCCCAGGCTTGACTGCACCTTTCACAGACTTGGTGGCCTCCTGCTGGTCATAGCTTCGTCTTGGCTTTGTGTTTTCTAAAGTTTTCTCTAAAGATTCTCTTGGGGGCCTGAATTCTCGGATTCCCTGAAATGTCAAAATGCTGATAGATTTTTTTTCTTCCTAAATACTGTGTATAAATATTAACGAGTAATGTTACAGGAAAGACGAACATTTGGAGTTATAACTGGCTGGTAATTACAGCTTATGTTAACATATAGCTTAACATAAAATAAAATTTTAAAATTTTAAAAAATAAAAATTTAACAGAATGATTGAGTGTACAAAAAGTACAGCAGCAAACAAGGGAAGTAAATCTTTGAATGTCTACCATTTTTGGGGAATCCCTATGACCAGATCCTGCTGGCTGGGAGAGGGCAATGTCTCCCTGGAAGATGACCTCAGCCAGCTGCTGCATCAATGGTCCAAAATGAATTATCAAAAATACCTGTACAGGACAGAAAAGATAAAATAATTATGTTCGTTTTAGATAAAGCTATTACAATATATCACATTTTAAAACGGGGGTTGGTTACTAAATGCGTTCCATTAAAACAAAATTTGTCTAACAGATGGTTGTGTTATGCAAAACAGGGGATAAAACATTGACTGATACATTTGTTAAACTTCCTACCTGTGAGAGCAGGAAAAGAGAAACAACACAGCTCACATGCTTTCTATCATCCTGTAAATAAAATACATCCAGAATTTTACTTGCTGAATTAAATTAAAAAAAAGGTAATATTCATATTTAACAAGCAAGTTCAATTTTTAAATTTCTCCAGAATGGCACTACAATGATCGCATGCTTCTGTATCTTTTATGGTTTGTATGAGAGTTATTTAAATTATTAAAATGCTCATGTGAAAACAGGAAAAAGTACAAACCGCTTCCTCTGAAAACTTTTTTCTCTTTGTAAGTGAATAGACATACAAAGGTACAAGCAATCTGTTGAGCAATTTGTCTGTCAACACTTCATTCAGGGTGTCAATATCAATGAGGAAAATGTCATTGAGGTAGTGTAGATGATCCAGGTGCTCAGCCACAAGGTCTGCCAGACGATCTCGGCTCCTGTGACTAAAAGGATTCACATAAAATAATAGAGACATTATGAGGACACACAACGTAATGATTACAATGTTATGATTATGAGATCTTTGGAATAGTACAAAATTATTTGAATAGTTCTGAGATCATTTTAAAAGTACAAATTTTAATAAGAATTGTAGAACGGTTTAATTTTATTATAAGACAGATAAAACAGCAAAATTTATTATGTTAACTTTTATTGTGTCTATTGTCTTATTCTAATTATCACAATATAACTTTAGAACGATTGTTTTACATGCCTGTTCTTTAATAACTCTTTTAAAATGAATTTTTTAAATAATTTTAAAACTAAGATTATGAAATGGCATTAAGTGAACTAGCAGAGAAAAGCACAGAATTAGCATTCAATGGGAGATAAGAAATTCATAAAATTATTTTTGACTGACCAAGGAAATAAAAAAAACCAGATAAAAATTTCACAAGTCATTCTTGACTAAGGAAATTAAATTGCACTAAATAAGCATTCCATAGGAGATAATCATTTCAGTAAAAGTTATTCTTGACTGACCAAGGAAATACAAAAAGCGCTAAATTAGTATTCTATAGGAAATAAGACTTTGACAAAAATTATTCTTGAATGAATAAGGAAATAAAGAACGTACTCATGGTCATGACGAACACAAGTGTCCAGGTCAAGTATATGATTGCCAATGAACCAGACAAGGTTAGAGAAATACGGGGCGGCAGTCCTATCTCGTATGTAGCTTAACATAGCCTTGTCATCAACTGAAACAAATGAAGTAGCTTAACATGATGGTTTACAATCAACTTAATTTTCAAACAACTGCTGTTAATAAGCTAAATGCAAGTCACCAACAAAATATAAGTAATGAACATTTGTTTTAGTTTTTCATCAACATTTTCAAAACTCTATTTCATTAAATTGCTCTTCCTATATAGGTAAATGAAAACTGTGTCGTTATTTTTAATGACAGGAAGCAAAAAAGCGTGAAATTTACTGAAAATGAAAAGTTGAAATAGTAATCCAATTAACTATTAATTTCTAGAAATTTTAGACTATGTAACTGAAAAATATATATATATACAGGTGTAAATATAATGACAACTGGACAAACTGTCTTTTGGTCATTTTACTGGTGCCATTTGCAAAATAAATATTTTAAACTTTTGAATTGTTTACCTTTAAAGACATTGAGAGTGATGGTTCTTACTGCTATCCGCACCATAGACTCTGAATGGTTGAAAAATTTGATGGCCTCTGTATACAAGGCAAAGTCATTTGTGTGCTGTAGAGTGAAGAGTTAGTCTATCAACAATGTAAACAACAAATTGAAAGCCTTAACACATATTTGATAAGTCAAAGTAGCAGTAACTATATATTAGCTTACTCTAAATTGGATTTCAATAAACTCAATTGAGAAACTACAGTCTGAACCCGATACCTTACAAAATATTGACTACATTGAGAAACTACCTTTTAAACCCAACATCTTAAAAAAACGACACAGACATGTGCAGATACTAATAAACATGCTGATTATTATTAAATGGAATGAGTATACTGTGGACCAGTTATGTATAAAAAGAGGTTATGGCAAAAATGTATTAACATAATTGAAAAAAAATTGTTTTTAAACAGAAATCCTGTTAAACAAAAAAAAATTGTGTTTTTATTCATTCCTTAAACATAAACACAGTTATCTTTTGGGAGATGGCACTAGGATTCTACCTTTAAAAATTCAAAGATATATTTAAGATATATTTAACCATCAGGAATACTGAAGAAACAGATCTAAAGGCGCTGTGAAAGAAAATATACCACATGACTCTCGTGTGTTATCTATTGTGGAAAACTGATAACGGAAGAGTACATTCTAGCAAAACAAATATCCTAAACTTAGAACAGGGTTATTTTTTGCTGTTAGTTTCTAAACAAAAAATATCCTAGCTGTTCATTTCTAAACAAAAAATATCCTAGTTGTTAGTTTCTAAACAAAATATCCTAACTGTTTGTTTCTAAACAAAACATACTTGCTGTTAGTTTCTAAGCAAAAAAGTATGGCACAGCTTTAAGAAGAATTTATATTTTCTAAAATTGCAAATTAAAAAAAAACGAACACAATTTTAAGAAATTAGATTAATGAAAATTTAAAAATGCTATTCTAAAACCATGGTTATGATTTAGTTAACACATTTTTGCAACAACACTAAATAATTGTTTCTAGAACTACTAAAAGCTGAAGCTAGTACTTGATTTTATATAAAATATTATGCAGGATATAAGAAAACAAAATATACTTTTTATTACACGAAAACATGCTTCTATTTTTAAATATCAACACTATGTAATTTGTAATATTGACCAAACTTTTAAATTACTTTATTTAATAAAACAATTTAACTCCAAGGCAAAAGTTTTGTCAAAAGATTTTTAAGCTTTTACAGGTAAATACTACTAATTATGTAAAATATTTAGTTTAAGGAAACTCATAACTCCAATTGTTTTAAAGACCTTTGATTGTAACGTTTATCACACAGCATACATTTTCAAGAATCCATTCAATTCTTTAGCAGACCCTACAATATCCAGTTAGTATTGCTATATGACCACCACGTGCTGACAGTAAACTAAAAATCAGTGAGAGAAACTTACTGGTGTGTGAGCAGTCTGAAACAATGATGTAAACAAAAGCCATAACATCAATAAGCAAACAAAAATGGATGGGACAGAAAATAAAACATCACAGGCCATCAGAAAACAAATCAGTGCAACATAAAAAATTGCAGGTGGATTTCACTTATAGCAAAAAAAAAATTATACTAATTATTGCGCTCCAAAAATTATTTGTGTTCAACAACCATTATAAAAAGGTGAAAAGAGTTTTGAAAAGCTACAGCTTCTTACAATAAAACTTTGTGTTTGAAATGCTACATTTTAAAATAAATTTTTTAAATACAAAAAGTTCTAAAGGCTTTATGAAAATAAATAAAATTTTGTTTCAAATTTAAAAAAAAAAGTAAAATTTTCATAATCAGTTTTGCTAATAGAAAAATTATTTGATGATGCAATTACTTTTGTTGCAATAAATAAATTACTCAATAATGAACAACAACACAATTATTAAATTTAAACAACCACATTAAAAATCATGCACAAGATGTCAAAGCTGTGCATGTGCATCATACTGCAATTTAATTAAAGCTTGTGAGATTTCATATATTAGGCTTTTTAATTATGTTTGAAAGCATATACAGATCTTTGTCTGAATCATTTTTATTACAAACTATTGTTTTTTTAAAAGAGAGAAGTAATTTTATCATTACTTTCAAAATATTGTACAACCTTTAAAAAAACTAACATGAATCTGAGCTTTTAATCTCCAAAGTGATTAAATTACTTATTTTTTAAATGCAGTTTTGTAAAACTACTTGTGCAGGCTTGAATGTAAAGCACATGTCCCTAAAACGTGAGCAAAATAAGAGTTGAACTGCAAAGCTTTGAGTGCTGGTGTATAACTTACCTCATTGTAAAAAAAGTGAATTGTATGCTTGTTTAGTTTTAACGACAGCGTCTTTAAAAAGGAAATGTAATAAGCCATCACCTAGAAAGAATATTAAACCATAAAAATAAGTTTGTTGAATTATTCAATTATCAAATGATCAGTAATCAAAACATTGGCATTACAATGTATTTAGTAAAACAGGTAGATACCTCTTCATCAGAGAAATCAAATTTGTGCACAATAATTGAGTTGATGTGATTGTTGGACAGTAAGTAATCTGAGGAGAAAAAGGTGATACTTTCTCATTACTTAAAAATAAATTGGATACTCAAAAGTAGGAATAATGAATAACTGACACATTCAGTTAGATAATCATGATTTCTTTTCCTTTCATTTCAACATTCCAGATCTTGAGCCTTAAAGTATTTCAAGGTTAAATAATTTTGAGCAATAAAATAAATATCTTACACAGAGAGGTTTCATTGCTTATATTTTCAAATAAAATGTTTAGCGTCTGAAGGAGTTGAACACAAATATAACGTCCAAACTTTTGTTGCAGATATCGCAAAAAAAATGACAACATATTTTTCTCCAGGAAGAAGCTGTAATAAATAGAAAAACCTCTTAAATAAAACTATTAAAATTAATTTAATTAAGACCAATATACATCTTTGTTCCAAAAGCCAATCATAAGTACTATTTATGTTTATTTGAATTAAAAAGACCTATTAAATATATATTTGCAAAATGAAAATGAACATACTCAAAAACACTACTATCATTCTGGTCTCCCCAGATGAGAATTTCTGATATAGAACGTAGAGTTTCCACCAACAGGCCTCGGTTTTGCTCAGTTACAGTTTGATTTTTCCCTAGAAGGTTGTATAAAAATCTGTGGACAAATAAAATATACAAACTTAAGATAAATGTCAATGCTACCGTTACAATGTGGTGGAACCCTTGTAAAAATATGTACTCAATAATACAAGAGTAGTGAGTATGTCACACATTTTTATAGGCTTATATATTCTATACTATAATAAATAGTAATAGTTAGCCTGCATTGTAATCTTAGGTTTTGTGTTATGTTCAGAAATTAGGGTTTTTTAGGGTCATGGTAGGTTTTGGGTTATGGGGTCGTCCATAAATGACGTCACACTCATAGGGGGAAGGGGGTCCGTAATTTTGTAACATTGTGTGATGAGGAGAGGGGGTTCAGATGGTGCGAGGTCACACTTTTGCATTATAAAAAAAGCAATGTTAGAAAACAAATTTTAGACGTTCTTTCGCATTTTAGAAAACTGTTTTAATAAATTCTAATAGGAATTGATTAAAAGACTCTATGTTGAGAGAGTTCAGACAAGATTTAAAAAAAATATAGATGTTTTAAAAAAAATTTAACAGCCATTTTGAGGGGGGGTTGTAGGCTGAGGTGTGATGTCATTTTAGGGGGGGGGTGTCTGGCTTTTTGTGACGACGTGTGACGGAGGGGAGGGGGGGGGGGGGGTAAAAATCTTCAAAAAATGCATGACGTCATTTATGGATGATCCCTATGTTATGGGGGTTGAAATTAGCAATTAAGTATTTTAAAAAATTAATTAAAATTCAGTTAGCACTCACTGAGTGACTCAGTTACAAACAGTTAACACTTAATCACAGTGAGTGTTAGGCCTAATTATTAGGCCTAGTAATGATTAATTAATTAATTAAACTCTTAAACTTGTTTTATTTACTTCAACTTGAACTTAGGCCTATTATTTTCAATTGGTAATCTATCGTTTTAGGTACGTAAAATCGCCCGCGACTAGTAATGTGAAAAACAGGTGACTCCTTACATTTTAATAATTATTTCACATTTTGAGGAGGATTTATGTTTTGAAAATACAAAAATGTTTCCTTGTTTCATTTATGTACCTGTTTTTAAACAATTGAATTAAAACTTTTCAGTAATAAATTAACACCAGCGATGTTTCCAACAGATGCAACTATGCTCATTTACTATAGCAGCCATCTTGTTAAAGTTTTATTTTTATAGACTTATAGTGCGAGATTCAGGCGGAAGTCACTCTATTTTACAAATGGCTGCTGTTTATATAGCAAATCTTGCTTGCAGACACTGCTGTTTAAAGGTAATTTCTGGCCTATATATTAAAATTATATTAATATATTTTAGCCATTGATTTAGGTTTATTATTCATTTATCTATAATATTTGACACAAACATATCACAATATTCTTCTATTACAGCCTTGACATTGAGGTAACGTTTTCGTACCTTAATAGCCGCGGGCGTAAAATGAAAACGATGAGATTACAACAAGATTACCTTTTAATTTTGGCATTTCATGGACATTAGGCTAGTCATTTCTATCGCCTATCTTTATTGGACTATTGGACACTGGTATAACACCCCACAATGTTAACACATAGGATAATTTAGATCTACTCCGATAATCAATTCAAAAATTTAAAATAACTTACTTTAAATGTTCCAAAGAATGGGGGTTTTTTGGTCTCCACAAAGTTCCAGATAGCCAACTTTTTGGTTTCGTGAACATTTTTGGCTTTGATTCAGACATTAAGAGTTAAAAACTAGTTGAATGAATTGATCTACGTAGTCATAGTGATATTGTTTTGAGAAATCTAGACATCTAGATCTAGAGATCTATCTATTTTAACAAAAACACATTTTTCAAGACAAGAAAAACTACAGGGAAACAATAACAAGTTATTATCTACAAGTGGGGAACCTAGTCATAATAATGATTTGAACCGGAAGTATTTACTTCCTACTAAGGGATATAATACACGAGAATTCGTTTTATAATTTATACGTAAGACCTCATTATTGGCCTTGGTTTTGTATAGTGTTTCACATATTTCCAAAATGATGAAGGAAATAACTATTGACTATGTATGTTTCTATGTTGAAGAAAGTATATATAACATTTTAAGAGGAAAAGGATGATCTCATCTTAAGTCAAATAAATATAGAAACAAAAGCGATTCTTTTCTTTAATTACGGTCTAAGGGAAATAACAATGAAAATTTAAAGGATGTAATGTTTTCATGTTTAAACTCCCTTTAGTTGTAAATTGCAGTTAGATCTTATTTAGATTATAGATACATACATTGCTTTTCAAATTTTACATTTTTAATGGCAACAACATTTTTATATTTTTAATTTTTTTTTAATTAAGGAATTTTAAAAATAATTAAAGGGCATTAGCCCTCATAAACTTTCTCTGATTGTAACTTAAAACATTGTTATTTCCCTTAGACCACAACTTCCCATAAATATGTGGGTGATTTAAGTGCTTTGACAAAAATTCGCGACACACATTTGAAATTACCTTTAAATGATCGGGCGACTTTCTTTTGAACATATTTTTTATCCTATCGATTTACATATTTGTTCTTGTCTCTTAAGAAAAAAACTATTTAGTTTTTATGAAATGTATATAGGAAAACATTCTTCTTATCTGCCCTCACTCCCCTCAATTGAAGATAAAGCAAATCTGTTGTCTTAAATTGATACCTTTACCCCTGACATTGCTAATTTAATGTTTTTTATAAACCAAATATTTTAGCATGTAGGTTTGGCAGTAGGATTAGAACTAAATATTATTTTAATGGAATGATCCTATGTAAAGCAGCTCCTAGATCAATTTAAATGTCCAAATTCTTGATCAACGGTTTAATAAAATTTCAACATGGATAGAGACAAACCTATTAAAAAAGATACTATCACCTAACAGAGATGATAAACAAAAGAAACAGCATAGAACCTTTGTGCATGGCAACATACTTTAATCAATTCCCATAACATAACAAAAAATGGTTTACAGTGAACAATACAGTTTATAATTCGTATAAAACTTGTTTGATTTTCACATATTTTTATGGTCTAACAGCTCCATGCATTTGATTATAAGAAAACTAGCCGAAAAGCCTGCCGTATGTGTTAATGTATGTTTTTTTAGATCTTCGGTTGTTTTGGGTTGTACGGAACAATCCAAACGAATGCTTTATAACATACTACTGCCATTTACAACACATATAGTATAGAATTTTAAAAGCACTGCTTAGTAAATAAATTATCTATTTGTTTTTAAAATGTAACAAACAAATAAAAAAAGTAAAATAAAATAAAATTTTAAGACTTATTTTTATTAAAGAGACTATGGTGTTTTTAAATAAGATCAATTGAAAATATTTTTGAGTTACTCCCTTACGTAACTGACGAAATTAGCTAATTATTATAAAGGATAATCAGGCGATTTCAGGGCAAATTTTTTAGAAATTCTGTTTAATAAGTTCTGTAAATAAAGAGATAATCACATTTTAGCTGTAAAAGCTTTGAATATCTCTAAGCGCTTTTTCACATTGACATCAGTCAGCCAAGAACCTCCATCAGCAACCACGACTGAAGAAGTGATTAGCCTGGCCATATCTGTGGCCAGAAATAGACATATCTCGCCAATTTCTTGCTTGGTGCCAATGTGGCCTATTGGTATTCTACTTTCAATATCTGCAGTGGATAAGCCCATACCTAAAATTTGATAGAAATCAAACATTACCCTTGAATACATATTTAAAAAAACAAATAGTATTGAATTAGAAATAACTATGGAAAACTAATGAATGAGAAAGCATTGATTACTTACTTAACTTCTTCATTCCTTCTGTATCCTCAATGGGACCTGGAGCTACACAAACAACCCTGACCCCATTGGGCCCCCACTCAATTGCTTGATGTTTTGTTAGGGCTTCTGAAAAAAAAAAATCAAAAACCTACATTGTATTTTTCATACAATTTATTCTTATGTCTCCCTTCAAGTAAATATACTTAAACATATTTTTTAATGTTGTAAATGGTATATTTAATTGTTTTAACTTTTTAGTTGTGACCACTTTAAATTTTAGGAAACAGAGATATTCAAGTTTGCCAAATGAAATTAAGAAGAAAAAAAATAAAACTTATTTACTAGTGTCATTTGTTGATCAAAGATCGTCTAAAAGTGCTTTTCACCTACTCACCAATGGCAGCCTTAGCAGCCCCTGCATGTGCCTGCAGAGGAGTCCCACGATAGTGCAGTGTTGCAGTGATATTAATAATGACACCTCCATTGGACTATATATAAAAAATTAAATTTCATGTCACTTAACAATGTAATCACAACCTTAAGATAGAAGCTACAGTCAGCCATTGTTCTTGTTCATGAGAGTATATGAGAGTACAAAAAAACAAATACGTGAAAGCTAAAATGTTAAACTGTATGGATATATTAAATTCTAATTATTAGCGTAAAGCAGTTAAGTCTTCTATTTTTATATGTGGCCAGGTTCTGGTATCAGAAAGCAATATTTTACTTAAGTTGTTTATATTGATATTTTACAATGAAAGCTGACTTACCTTTAAAAACTTGTCATAAGCAACTTTGCTGACATTGTATGTTCCGAGAGTATCAATTTCTATCACCGTCTTAAACGCATTAAAAGACATGGTTTCCAATGGACACAAAAAGTTCCCTGCCGCTCCTGGAATTTATGTGCACAACAATTTCAATCATTCACAAAAAAGCTACTGTGATCCTTGCAGTTTATACTACTACTAGATCTAACATGTTAACAGTAAGTACTATTAAAAAAAACATGGGATTCAAGATAAATAAAAATTTAACATGATAACCTTATATAAGAATATTCTAATTACCGTTGATTAAAATATCAATTCTTCCATATTCCTTAAGACATGATTCTATTCCTTCAATTACCTCAGTAGGCTGAAAAATTAAAGATTCTTACAAAAATTATTCAAACCAGATCAAATAAAGGTCAATTGAAAATAAAGATATCAGATATTTACTTTCCGGACATCCATCTGTACAGCTAGACATCTGCTCCCAGTTGTTTCAGTGAGTGTTTTTGCTGAGGTCTGAAGGCGTTCCAGATTTCTTCCAGCGATAGCTGTGTGGCAACCATGTCTAAATATCAATCAAAGAAGTCAAAATTCAAAGAATCTTATTTACTGCTAAGTTTTAAACAATTTAAAAATGTGTTGAACTAAGACATTATTTTACCATAAAGTGGTTGGAATATTAAGTCATAACAGTATACAATGAGAGAAAAAAAACCTTGACTCTGTTGCTGACTTTATAAAAAACAAAATAATAAAAAGCCACTTTTTATTTAAAATTCTTAAGCATCCAAAGCATCTTAAATTATTCACTGAGGGCAACATAAATTCAATAATATAAAATTATTAGGTACCAGAATACTATCTTTTATAAAGCTAAAAGGATGGTTCAATAAATAAAATATTCAAATACCTCATAAAAATTTCTGCAATGGTAAAACATATACCAGACCCACCTCCAGTAATAAATGCAATTTTATTTCTGTAAAAAAATAATATTCCATCAATAATTATTACTAGTAATTAAGTAGGGTCTAAATTCAAATATTAAATATAGTTTTAAAAAATCATCTGTTGACTGTTGCACTAGTGACTATATATATATATATATATATATATATATATATATATATATATATATATATATATATATATATATATATATATATATATATATATATATATATATATATATATATATATATATATATATATATATATATAGTGTAAGTAAGATGTATGAGTGTGTGCATGCATTTTCATTTGTGTATGACTTATGAATGTTTGTGAGGTATGAAGGTGTTTGTACATGCCACAAATGGGAAAGTTTTTCGATGTTAGCTCACATAAGGCGCTGGTCAGTCGAGTTTGTGTATATATGTGTATATATATATATATATATATATATATATATATATATATATATATATATATATATATAATATTCTAGATAGTAGAATCTAAATCTAGTCAATTCTTTTTCTAGTCTTAAAATATTAAAATAAGAGTCACTTAAGACTTAAGTTAAGTTAAGACTCTTAGTCTTAACTTAAGAAGCCTTAGCCTAGGCTACCTTAACTTAGCAAGCTTAGGCCTTGAAGATTAGTCTAGAGTTTAAATAGTAAGAAGTAGATCTATATATATATATTATATAGAGATCTACTAAATTTAATATTTTTATTTACATTTTAAAATTAGTCATTTAGTACTACTCCATTAGTAGTCACTCTAGAAGTTAGAAGAGTGGTTACCTCAATAAATCTTTTCTAAATGAATACTGATAGTCTTTTATGCATTTTTCAATAGTCGGGGAGTTGTTATACTTGTTCTTGATAACAGACATTGTATTACTATTTTATTCAGTGTGATTTACGGTAGTAATTAGAAAATCTAATGTCGTTTGTTTTTGTTTTCATTTGAAACCATCCGAACTTTGAACTACATTCGTTTCAAGCGGCTAATAGAGTAAGGCGCTTTTAGCTTTTATTCCACATTGCCAGATCAGTATACAAAAAGACGGGCATAATCATGGTCATATGAAATCCGAATGTTTTGTAATATAGCTTTTTAAAAATAAAAGAATGCTGACTCATTAACAGAGTTCTAACTTATATTGACAAGGGGTGTTGATATTATGAGCATAATACTGACCGTTGTTTATTGTCATGGTGGGGGGGGAGGGGTAAAGAACAAGTATTATTGCTGATGTTATTTATGTTTTCAAACTCACTACAGCATCTCCGCTGCTAGAAAACAATTTAAAATATTAAAAACATATATTAAAAATCGTTATCACAGATGAGAAGTTATTTCAATGTAAATAAACTTCGACAATACTACGCTAACATCTTAAAGCGAGACCCACCGCGGCAAATTGGACGGCACAGAGGTGTGTTTATAATTATATCTATCACATGACAGGAATGGTACTATTTTTAGACCAGTTGACTGCTGTGCATCAAGAATCAAGGCTGCCGAGCGAAGGATACGTTTTAGTTAGATGTTCAGTTTCAGTTAGACAGAGTGGTAAACTTAAAACTTAAGGACTGATGCTACTGCTAGTCTAGTCTAACAGTCAGCAGCATCAGGGAAAATGCTTAAGATAGGTATGAATTGTACATAGATCTAGATGACTAATAATAATGTCATGATATATAATATATATATAATATAATATATAGTCTAGCTTGCTAGAGTAGAGAGATTCTAATCTAGATCTATTAAAAAGTGCCAAAGTGGCGAACTGAAAGCAGAAAAATTCTGAAAAACATTGTTTATTTTCTGTTTGTTAGGCAGTGTTGTTAATAAAGACTGTTAACTGTTATGCATGAATGAATATAAGATTGGTTAATGTACGACTGAATGTATGAGTCTCCCTCCAGTTTTATTGAGTTTAGCTTGAAACATGCATAACAACAATAAATGTATTAAATGACAATAACACACAGTCAAATTATATTTCGCTGACTGTTCCAGTGTCGAAGCGGGCTGATATTACTGCATTTTGCATTTAGTCATAATAATAATTAATACTAATAGTTTCGCTGTCTGTCTGTCTATCTGACAAGAACGCTCTGTCTGACAAGAACGCTCTGTCTGACAAGAACGCTCTAGAGAAAACACAAGCAATTTAAAAACATGCATAGTATTTCGAAAAACGAAGTATGACGTCGACACATTTAGCACAGAGTAGAAAATAATCTCAAGGCGGAAAGTGCACACAGTAATATAATGACGTCATTGATTATCGCGTAAACATTGAATAAAAAGGAAATGTTGTCTAATCTAAATGGTTTGCGTGAAGAGTTTCTTGCATACAATTCTTCGGGTAGGGGCGAAGCCCCACCCCCCGCGTAAGAACGTTTGAGCCCCCCCCCCCCCCCTCCCCAACTCAAAAGAAATTTCTTCATCGATACTCTATAATAAAATTACCGCCTAATTAATGTGTCTAATCTAAAAAGTGGTTTTCTTGCAATTTCTTTAATGCAATTCTTCGGGTAGTGGCTAAGCGCGACACCAGTGTTTCTTTCAGACTTTTTCCTCCCCGGAGAGGGGTGGGGGTAATTGAAATTTTCGGGGGCGGGGGTAGAATGTTCGGGGAGGGGGGCGGACTCTGGAAAAAGTATATAATTATATTTCGTTGAATGGGACGGTAGACATGTTTTTTTTGGGAGTGGGGGGTGGGGGTGGGGGGTGGGGGGGGGGGGGGGGGTGGGGGTGGGGGGTGGGGGTGGTGTGTGTGGGGGGGGGTGGGGTGGGGTGGTTTCCTCATCGATACTCTATAATAAAATTACCGCCTAATTAATGTGTCTAATCTAAAATGTGGTTTTCTCGCAATTTCTTTAATGCAATTCTTCGCGTAGTGGCTAAGCGCAACACCAGTGTTTCTTTCAGACTTTTTCCTCCCCGGAGAGGGGTGGGGGGTACTTGAAATTTTCGGGGGCGGGGGTAGAATTTTCGGGGAGGGGGCGGACACTGGAAAAAGTATATAATTATATTTCGTTGAATGGGACGGTAGACATGTTTTTTTTGGGGTGGGGGTGGGGGGGTGGGGCTGGGGGTGGGGTGGGTGGGGTTGGGGGTTGGGGGTAGGTGTGTGTGGGGGATGGGTTGGTTTTAGTTTAGAGAAAAGAGACAGCACTATCAACCTAGCGCCCGGTGTATCCTTCCTCAACGGGCCATTTTTCTCGTCTATAATAATAGTTTCGCTGTCTGTCTATCTGACAAGAACGCTCTGTCTGACAAGAACGCTCTGTCTGACAAGAACGCTCTAGAGAAAACACAAGCAAAATAAAAACATGCACAGTAATTCGAAAAACGAAATATGACGTCGACACATTTAGCATAGAGTAGAACATAATCTCAAACCAGAGAGTGCACACACTCATATGACGTCATTGATTCTCGCGTAAACATTGAAAACAAGGAAATTTGGTCTAATCTAAATGGTTTGCGTGAAGAGTTTCTTGCATATAATTCTTCGGGTAGGGGCGAAGCCCCACCCCCCGCGTAAGAACGTCTGAGCCCCCCCCCCTCCCCAACTCAAAAGAAATTTCTTCATCGATACTCTATAATAAAATTACCGCCTAATTAATGTGTCTAATCTAAAAAGTGGTTTTCTCGCAATTTCTTTTGTGCAATTCTTCGGGTAGTGGCTAAGCGCGACACCAGTGTTTCTTCAGACTTTTTCCTCCCCGGAGAGGGGTGGGGGTAATTGAAATTTTCGGGGGCGGGGGTCGAATTTTCGGGGAGGGGGGCGGACACTGGAAAAAGTATATAATTATATTTCGTTGAATGGGACGGTAGACATGCTTTTTTGGGGGTGGGGGTGGGGGGTGGGGGTGGTTTGTGTGTGGGGGGGGGGGGGTGGTTTCCTCATCGATACTCTATAATAAAATTACCGCCTAATTAATGTGTCTAATCTAAAAAGTGGTTTTCTTGCAATTTCTTTAATGCAATTCTTCGGGTAGTGGCTAAGCGCGACACCAGTGTTTCTTCAGACTTTTTCCTCCCCAGAGAGGGGTGGGGGTAATTGAAATTTTCGGGGGCGGGGGTCGAATTTTCGGGGAGGGGGGCGGACACTGGAAAAAGTATATAATTATATTTCGTTGAATGGGACGGTAGACATGTTTTTTTGGGAGTGGGGGGTGGGGGTGGGGGGTGGGGGTGGTTTGTGTGTGGGGGGGGGGGGGGTGGGGTGGTTTCCTCATCGATACTCTATAATAAAATTACCACCTAATTAATGTGTCTAATCTAAAAAGTGGTATTCGCAATTTCTTTAATGCAATTCTTCGCGTAGTGGCTAAGCGCAACACCAGTGTTTCTTTCAGACTTTTTCCTCCCCGGAGAGGGGTGGGGGTACTTGAAATTTTCGGGGGCGGGGGTAGAATTTTCGGGGAGGGGGCGGACACTGGAAAAAGTATATAATTATATTTCGTTGAATGGGACGGTAGACATGTTTTTTTGGGGGGGGGGTGGGGGTGGGTGGGTGGGTCTGGGGTGGGGCTGGGGGTGGGGTGGGTGGGGTTGGGGGTAGGTGTGTGTGGGGGATGGGTTGGTTTTAGTTTAGAGAAAAGAGACAGCACTATCAACCTAGCGCCCGGTGTATCCTTCCTCAACGGGCCATTTTTCTCGTAATAATAATAATAATAATATGATAATAATGATAGTCATCATTGATTATAATTAAATATATGTAGGCCCTAATATTCTAATCTAATAGTGTTCTGTAGTATTTAGTAGTATTATTACTATTTTAATACTGTGATTGTTAAATTATAGTATAATTAAAAAATTACAGTGCATTAAAAAGTAAGTGACTAATTTATTACTAGATAACTAGATTCTACAATCTGCCCACCACTATATTTTTGCTATTAACTATTAGCCCTTACCTATCGCTTGGGAATGGTACTAACTGAAAATTAGGATTAGAATTGCTGCTGTAGATTATAAAAATACCCTTTCTTAACTAAAGTTTAAAAAAAAATTAACACCAGTCTTTTATAAGACAGCAAGAAAATGTGCATTCTAATACAGACACATTTGACAAAAGCTTGTTAGCATAAATAAATTTAACGAGCCACCCTGCAGCGTAGCATTGGCTGCTATTTAGTTGTTATATTTTCAACTTTTCAGTTACTCATAATTTGTGAATTCGACACTACCCTCCCTCCCTCCACCCCCCCGCCCCCCCCCCCTCCCCCCCAAGCCCCTGTGAAAGCAGTTGTCCGTGACGACAGTTTACAGACGATAATGAAAAGATCAAGCAGAGCTTATCTCCCCTTAGTTTTAAATTGTTTAAAAAGTAAATTATCTGCCCCTAAAAGCCGTCACTAATTCGACCCGGCTCTACGATTGTAAACATTCTGTGTAAACCAGACAGGTGTGGGTGATAGTGTTATGGTCTGTTGCCCAGCCTGGAGGGAGTGGGGAGGAGGGTTAGATGGTTGGCTTGCGTGAAGGTGGTGTCCACATAGAGAATTATATATTACGAGCCGACCCGCTGCGTATCATACGCCGCTATTTAGTTGTTTTTTTTCTACTTTTCAGTAATTTATAATTTGTGAATTCGACAGTACCAATGCTGCCACTGAAAATATTTGCTTAAAAACACTAACCCCCCCCCCCCCCCCCCCCCCACGTGAAAGCAGCCTTCTCTTAGTTACCTCCTCTAAGTTTAAAATCGTTTCAAACTAAATTATCTGCCCCTAATAGCCGTCACTAAACCCGTCTCTATGATTGTAAAATGTAAACAGCGTGACCACAGCTCACCAGACAATGTAGGGGTGGGGTGGGGGTGGTAGTGATAGTGATAGTGATAGAGAGAAAGAGAGGGGACTGCATGGAGGCGCTTGCAGCTTGTTTTCTAACGGCTCCCAGAAGAGAATTATATATATAGATATATAGATATTTATAATGTGTTTCTGATCTATCTCCATATGTTCTACTCATTTTCACTCCATTGTTTGTATAATTAATAAAAAGCTGTTACCTATGTTTACATTCCACCCATCAGATTTAATTCAAAAATTAAAGTTTATATAGAGAGATAATTTTAGCTGCAGTTTATCAATCAAATAAACTTTAGCCCAAATGATACAACAATGTCTAATTTATTATTAAAAAAGTTAAAAATATATCTTTGAAAATAGATTTGTAATTAATTATATTACATCTATTTTCTAATGTAAGTTAATTTGACTTTATAATCTGTTTGTAAAATGGTTAACTCATGTTAATCATTTCTTAATCATATGTTCTCAAATTTATTTTGTTTTTGTCAGTTTGAATGTCTATGCTGGAACAAACCACTTATACCAAACAAATTGTACAGTTTTTTTCCAGATTTGCATCCTGCTAGCTGCTGCAGAAGTTTCCATGATTCCTTTTCTCTGTGATCCCAAGATTCCAGATGAGGTTATTGATACTGCTGAGATCACTATTTACAATGATGAAGGTCTTAAAAGGCCTGTTGTTGTATACCTTCAATCAGAGCAATGTTATAAGGTAAATGTGCATTATACTGTCAGTTTTTTTTAAAAATGGCACCATGAAGATTTATGTTTGATTCTTTTAAACTTGATCATCTATATTATGATAATGATAGGAAGCTGTTATTAACTTGTATTGATTTTGTATGGCATTTTAAGGGAAAACTACGTAACTCATTCCTGTGCTTTAGAAACTTATCTTTACCATTCATTTTAGTTGTTAGAATATTGAAAAAAATGTTAGTCTTAAAGCAGCTAAATTCTAATGGCATTTTTTTTAAAAATTCTTTTTAGTGTGATTTATTGCCCTACAAATCTTTGTTGAAAAATTGCACAATTAGAGTGGACACTAGATGGCCAATGAGAATAGAAATTCGTGTTATTAATGAGTCTGGTGAAACACTCACAGCCTCACCCAACTGCAGGTATTTAAGTAAATGTCATGTCAATATATTTTAACTTTTAAACATGAAATAATCAAGTTAGTTAATGGCAAAGTTATGTTGAATTTCACCACCCAGCTACTTAAGTAAATTTCATGTAAATATGTTTTTACTTTTAACATATAAAAACAAAGTTAGCTAATGACAAAATTACAATGAATTTCACAAAATGCTCCAAGATCTTATTGCTAGCCAGTAATATTTAATTACATTGAAAACCAAACTAAAAATCTTTCACAAATTTTATTATAAAAACTTGTTGTTAAAACTTAACCAAATCTTTTATCACTTGTACAACTACATTTTCAGTGAACGTGAGTTGTCTATGCATTATGTCCAAGGAGGAAAATACTCCATTTATATACAGACAGATGATGATCCAGATGTTATACGCTGTGTTCAAGCAGTTGAGAGAGAAGCCTCTGACACAAACATCCGTAAGATCTCTTAAATTTAGGATTCTTTTTAGAGAAATATTGCTTTTTAAAAATTATTTAAATTGTTGGCCAAAATGTTCATATTAAGATTATTGTGGCAATGGGAACTTTGACATTATGTATTACACTTTTTTTATTGTATTCAACAGCAATTTATGTGGCTATAGGAATTGGGTGCTGTCTTGCTTTAGCATGGATATTTGTCAAATATTTGTATAGGTAAATTTTAGCCTATTATCATACAGTTCATTTATTATCAATAGTACAAAAATAAACCTATATTATTCACTCTTGTAAACAATTTGTTAGCTTTTGATTTGTGTTGATTCTAGTCTGACAGTTTCAAGAAAATTGTAGCTCAGTTGTTGACTTAGTCATATAAAACTTTTTAAAAATATGCTTACAGGAAAGGCTATGTACATCGTGTTATATGCTTCTGGAGTACAGAGAGCATGATGTCTGTAAGTTTACTTATTAATAAATGTTTATTTTCAATCAATCCATCGATCTTCTCTTAACACTAGGGGTAATTGGGGTACCACAGTTGATTAGCTCATAATTTTCTGCCACGTGTCTCAGCCCTCTGCTGCTCTGAGTAGTTCTGAAGCATGTGACATGCCCAGGTGCATTTTAAGAAACTTAATTTAAAACAAAAATCAGTCTAAGAATAGCATTTTGTTTTAATTAGGATTTAGGCACCCCAACAAATATCAGTCAGACAGATGATCCATCTGCAGCCAAGCCAGACAAAGCACCAGTCAGAGAGAGGTTAAAGTCCTTGGATACATTCAGAGGGTACTAAATCCTTTTACAATATTCAATTTCCTGCCGCAATTTTAGTAATATGAATCTTCAAAATTACTTCAATTAAATGAAATTAAAAGTAACTAAATTCCTTGAAAAGTTTCTAATTGATATGACTTCATTTTTTTCCCTTGGCTTAATAAAAAATAAGCTTTTTTTTCTCTGACTTAGTTACATGTTTGACTTTCTATTCAACATTTTCAATCACCTAACAAGATGATCCTAAGTTTAAATATACAATGTTGTGTATGTTACCTTGGCTAGTTGCATTATATTCCAATGTGCCTATTAATGACTTTAAATTACAAGTGGAATTATAGGTCCTCACACCTATTTTAAATTTTGGTCAATTCCTTTAAATACATAAAACACATAATGGTCAAATTTATTTTTTCAATAACAGAATTTCTATAGTAATCATGATATTTGTCAACTATGGAGGTGGAAAATATTGGTTTTTCAAGCATTCGAAATGGAATGGGCTAACAGTTGCGGATTTAGTTTTTCCTTGGTGAGCTGTGCACAATAAGTAGAGTTGGCTAGCATGCATCTGCTTGTCTTCTATAGACTTTGTACTTTTTTTATTCAACTAATCTGTTTCAACTAATCTGTTTTGGTTGAGGTTGTTGTGGTTTCATTTCTTTTTATTTTAACAACTGACCTATAATATAGTAAGCCTTCAATTTTAATTCTAACCAGAGCCTTTATGTTTTAGAATTCTTATTTAGTTCTATTATGCAGGGTGACTAATTTTTTAAATTTATTTTATATGTAAGCAATATTCAATATGTGCAAAAAAATTAAGATTAATAATCAAACTTTAGTATCTAAGAATACTTGGTATTCAAATTAAAACATAAGAGTTTATATTACAAAGTGCTTAGTTTTATTAAAATACACTCATGTATAATATGATTTTTATTTTTCATGTTGAATTCAAATTTTAAAGCATGCTATAATTTATAATTAGATGCTTCAATGTTTTCTGCATAATTCATGTTGTGTTATCTTTGTTGTGTTCAATGTTAGTCATCTTCAACTGAGTGTAGCATTGCAGAAAAAAAAACCTCACTGATATTTTTGTTCTGACCTCTCAGTAACGTTGCCGTCTAAACAATTGAAATTATTACTTTTCTAGCATGGTCAACTGTTTACTTCAGCATGGTCAACTGCTTATTTCTGTATGAATCTACTCATATTTTCACATCTATAGGAAACCAGAGTACATAAAATGTATTCACTATCCAAACAGTGTTCCCTCTAAATTGTCCTTGTATAAGAGTTTAGAACACTGCACACAGAAAATACACATTGCACATAAGTTTTTTCCCTTATAGGGAATGTTGTATCCAACAACAAAAAAATACAACTCTGATGCCCTGGTTTGCATGATTTACTTCAAAGAAAAGGCACAATACTTCTCTTACAAAGAATAGTTAAACATGATTATAAATTTTTGTTTTCACATGGGCTCATCATGCAAGATACTTCCAAAGGTATTCTTTTTAGGAGGAGTGTTAACAACATTGCTACATGTTTGTGTGTCATTTCTTGTTGCAGAATAGCCATTGGCATCATGATTTTTGTCAATTATGGGGGAGGTAACTACTGGTTCTTTGCTCATTCAATCTGGAATGGAGTTACAGTTGCTGATTTAGCTTTTCCATGGTATGCATTTCACCCAAAAACTGAAAAATTTAAGCCATTGGTTTGAATGAGTAAACAAAATGCATTATTTTTTATCCATAGCATTTGTTTTTTTTTTTTGCTTTGTTTATTAATAATATGCATGGCTCCACTATAAATGTTAATGACCTTGCTGCTTTATAAAAGGAAATTTTTTATTAAGAGGAGGTTGTGTTAAAGTTATTTTTAAGCTAGCTTAAACCATTAATTGCTTTTTAAAATATGTGTTTATAGCATTCATTATAGGTTACTTTAATTCCTCCCCATCATTTAATTCAGTTGCAGTTTTATAATGCTTCTAGAAATTTTTTGTCTTTAACTTATTTTTGTTATGTCTTTATTTTAAATGGTACTTTTTTTAGACCAATTTTTTTGCAGTTACCTAACATTGAATCTGTTTTACTAAAACACTTAGAGGGGTCACTGTTTTTGTAATTGATATAATAATTAGAAAGTGGCATTCTGTGTAACAGTAACATAAAACTTATTAATCAAATGAGTTTTTTTTTTAAATTTCACTTAGCACATGACTGAACTATTAAAAAAGCTGTTTAATCACAGTAACTATATATTTAATTTAGACATTTATTCCACACAATTTAGGTTTGTATTCATTATGGGAACAGCTTTAGCTTTTAGTTTTCAAAGTCAGCTGCGAAGAAACACTCCCAAATGGAAGATTTTTATGCGAATTCTTAAACGTTCAGCAACACTATTTCTACTGGGATTGTTGATCAATTCCTTTGGTGTAGGCTCTGGTAAGTTATTTAGCTTCAGAGATTCATATGAATTTACTTACATTACTCTGCTGATATTTTTTTTAAATATTGTTTTTAAATAATAATCATGTGTTTTCCTTAAGTTTAAAATAGTCTTCGTTTATATACTTGGTTATATGGAATTTTGAAATAACTTATACAGCTACCTTATGAGGATATAAAAGATGAAATACATTACTTTGTTAAAAGACTAATGTTTATAATACTCTAATAATAATTTTGGCATCGAGAATCAAACTAGCATGTTTTTACTCCAAGTTTTCAACTTATTTTGCAGGGGTAGATTTTACAAGTTTCCGTATACCCGGTGTATTACAAAGGTTTGCTGGAACATATCTTATCTCAGCTTCTTTGTTTCTGTACCTTGGACCAGCAAATGTTTCTAACCAAGTGAGTGGTTGTTAAAATTAATGCATGGTTAGTGTAAATAATATGATAATCTAATTCAATCTAATCAAACAGACTGTTCAGATTCAGTCAAAAATAAAATATCTCATGTTTTTAAATTTTTAACATTTTAACCAACTCGTACAAATAGCATTATGATTTCAGTATGCTCAACCAACTCATACAAGTAACATTACAATTTCAGCATTCTCAACCAACTCATACATGTAGCTTTATGATTTCAGTATTCTCGCCTATCTTGTCTTCGGGATATAACTGCCTACTGGCTGGAGTGGCTATTTTATCTGGCATTTATAGCTCTTCACTCAGCTCTTACATTTACAATGCCAGTACCAGGTTGTCCAACGTAAGCTCATTTCTATTAAAATATCTTTTATTTTAAATGTTATTGGAATAGCTTTCAAAAGCTGTACTTCATTATTTTCAATTATATATTTTTGTGTTTTTCACTTATATATCATAGCATCATTACTAAACCTTATTTGAAATATTTGTGCTAGTGGGTATTTGGGCCCAGGTGGTCTAGAGCAAGAAGGCCACTATTTTAACTGTACTGGTGGTGCAGCCGGCTACATAGATCGCAAGTTTTTTGGGGACTCACATATCTATCAGAGCCCAACATCAAAGGTGGGTTCATTTTCCCATTACTTTATTATTACAAAGTGTGCTGTGGTGACAGAAAGTATGTATATTTTGTTCTAATTATGTTTAAGTCCTAAAATGTTTTGAGCATAATGTTAGCTGTTCTATTTCAGGAGATTTACAAAAGTACAGCCCCATATGATCCAGAGGGTTTGCTTGGAACTCTCAACTCTTGTGTTCTTTGCTTTTTGGGCTTGCAGGCTAGTATTTAGTGCTTAAATTATGTTTACTTATTATAAGATACATGTTTTATTTTATAATGGTTATACATAGTTTTGACATAGTGACCAGTGAAACCATTTTAATACGTACAGCTTTTAAAATTATCACTTTTTTTGTGGTGCAGGCAGGTAAAATTTTGTTTGTCTACAATGACTGGGTCCAACGTTGTCGAAGATTTTTTGCCTGGGCAGTATTTTTGGTATGTTAAATATTACTTTTTAAATAATGTATCCTGGTTAGTTGTAAAGCTAAAAGTAATTTTTGTTAAAAAAACAATGCTGCCTGCTTTTATCAGTATAAATCACCAATCATTCAGTTTTTATAAATTTTAAAACTGGAGTTTTATTTGCTGTAGGTAAACAACTTTTTTCAAAATGAAAATAAAACTATGCATTTTTAAATATTGCTGAGTAATTAAAATTTGTGTCATTGAAATTTAAAATCTTTGTCAGATTTGTCTTGGTACTCTGCTGTGTAAAGGTTCATTGAATGAAGGATGGATTCCCATCAACAAAAACTTATGGTGACTTTTTTTTTTCTTGCTATTCTCCATTAATTCACATTGCAAAGAAACTAATGTTGCACTTGTTTTTATTGCTAGAACAGCTTAAAATCTTATTAGTTTGCTAGTGTAGTAAATAAACACTTTACATTTCAGGTCTCTGTCATTTGTGTTCATACTCGCTGGGATGGCATTTTTTCTGCTCATGTTATGCTATATCTTGATCGATGTCTACAAAATATGGAGTGGAGCACCATTTTTTTATGCAGGTAAAATGTATTTCTCAATTGGATTTGAACCTGTTGTAGTTATTATACTTTCTTTTAATTTCCCTTTAAGTAATGAACTTTGGTTATTTTTTAGCATTAGATTTATGATTAATATTCAAATGAATCGAATATTTATTTATTTGTCTTCCAAAGGTATGAATTCAATAGCCCTGTACTGTGGACATGAATTTTTCTCTGGAAGAGCACCAGTTTTTTTTCAAGTACCACAAACACATGCATCACTGCTGGCGCTAAATATATGGGGAACTACCTTCTGGGTCTTTGTTTCCATTTATTTTTATTACAAGGATATTTTTATTTCAGTTTGAGTGTGATTTTTTTTAAATATTAGCTATTTATTACAAAATTAATGACCTTTTGGAACATAACAAATGCTGTCATTAGTAGTATTTAAAATTTTCTTTTTTAGTTAAATTGTTTTTGCTTTTTCTTTTCTGACAGCATGATATAATAAGAACATGCATATTAACATTTCACTTTTTTAAATTCTCTCAGCCCTAAGTTGATTTAGTAGTTGATTAAGCTTACATTTCTAACCTCTTCTCTTCACCACAATGTTACCGAGTGAAACAAGCAAAGATAATGTTTATGTTGTAATATATATTATTTGTTGATAAATTATTAGATGCTTTATATTAAATGTAGAATTTCAGACATTGTAAAATTAAAAAAAAAAAATTTCATATTTTTAATTAGCTGTTTTGGGTATGCAAACAATAGTTTGGTGACTATTTTTCATTCAAAAATTGATGTTTACATTTCAAAGCATATAAATTGATAGTATATTTTAATCAACTTTTCCTGTTTTGTTGTTTACTTTAAAACTGTTTATTTGAAAGAGTTCATCATCATCTCAAGTACTTTCAAGTGTCCAACAAATTTTAATGCAATTTTAAATCAAAACCCTGATGAAGTATAAAAGTGTCATTTTTATTGAGAGAAAAACTTTTACAAAATTAAACCCACATTTTGATACATGGACAATGAATATTCAGAAAGTGTTCAAATTTAAAAAGCAAGCATCAATAGATTTTGAACAGCCATCAATTTGTATCAAGCAATGTAATGTTCAGAAAATACTGTTAACAGAAAAGGTAGGCATTTCTTTTAATAAAATTCACTTAAAGCACAATTTCAACAGCTATCTACATTTTTACAATCCAATGATACAAAATATGAGTCCTGGAAAGTAGAAAATACTAATCAAACAAACCATTCAGTAAATGTGATATGGAAAATTGTAAAATTCACAGGTACCACATCAGGTATTTATTATCTCAAACATTCCCCACAATTTTCTGCTGACTGAAAAATACTTTTAACTATAAAGGACAATCAATCAACCTATTTGTAAGACTAACTACATCTTCAATTATAACCACCCATATTGGGTAACTAGCAATTTTAGTTGTTTTTTTTTAATTATCATTTATTAAAAACAGAAATAGTGCATAGAATAATATAAAAGCAACATAATTTTAATGCCATTACTAAAATTTGCCAGCATGAATCACAGCTAGTAAACTAAATTAAGTGATGTATTATATTTATGTGTATTTAGTACTTGAAAAAAAAGTTAGTAATCTGATATTTGATCAGAAAGCTTGTTGTTAAATAAAATAAAAACAAATGTTTACTGAAAAACAAGTGTTTACTTAATTGTTAAAATATATTTTAAAACAAATGCAATGAAGCATGAGTCATGAAGCGACAATGGCATAACCAGGAATTCATAGGGTTTTCTCCCCCTCCCCACCACTGGTAGGTATGATCACAACTTTCAAATGAATATGTACATTCCCATTACTGAGAATATTAAAAAAAAAGATATGGAGCGTGTTAATTGTATCTACATTTCACCTGCATACAGAAATTACTTATCAACCATACTATGTGCATACTAAAATTCTTGTACATGACAAAATCTAATATTGCTATTTCACATCACTCGGCAAAATCAGATTTACTGAATAAATGTCTCTCTTTAACTTGTTCAACAGTACTCAATGAAACAAAATAGCCACAGACTTACAACACCTCGCAACAAATTTTATCAAAGCTAAGTCCAGCGGAGTTGTTTTAGTCTTATTCAGAGATGATCAAGTGGTATTGGCTGATTTCATAGGCTTTACTAAAAAAGAAAACTTTTTCTTTACTGATGGATGTGCTCCTTAGTAGCATTCATTAAAGTGACATAATTGCAAACAGGAATACAACACATTCACTGCTTAAGATTTATTTAATCACAGAATTGTATAATCAATCATGAACAATTATGACAACTGCAAGCTTCTTTCTCACCATTTTTAATAAACTACCATATATACATTAATTTAGGGTACAAGTTAATGGCAGTTGCAACTTTTGTAAAATACAGAATAATCCATATGACTGGGATTTGACGTAAAAAAAAATCTTTCAAAAGAACTCTTTAATTAAAAAACTTTAAAATATAAATGAAATATGTAATTTCCACTTAAATTTTGAGGTTATAAAATAATTCCAGTACTTTAGAGATTCACTATGCATTTTATAACATCATTTTTTTTGTTTATGATATTATACTAAAGACTTATTTGCATGTTTAACCAGTGTAATATGGAATGCATTGCTTATGGTTTTTATATAAATTTAATACAGTGAAAAAATCCCACAAAACTTTAACCTAAATAAATATTCACCAGTATATACAGTTGAGTACCTTTTATATTGGATTTATATTTTAAAAACAGTAATTAAATTAAAGAAACATATTTCCTCTATTCATTTAAAAGTTTTCCTACATAAAATGGAATTATTTTAACCAATCAAAATTTTAAAAATCAAATAGACAATGAATTTTTGTATAAGTAGTCTTATTGAAGACAATTTGTGGCTAAAATTACACAAAAAAATTACTTGATCAGTAAACAAAATGCTTCACAGTTGCTGTTTTTTCCAAAGAAGGTAGGACCTCTTCCACATTACTCTTCAGTTCTGTGTATTTGACACCTTTAGACCGCTGACGACCTCTACTGCCACCTCGACCCTCTATAATAAAGGCCATGATCTGTAAAAATGAAATTTTTTAATCAGCATAGAAACAGCTTTACATCAATGGAATGGAAAATATATCAAGAGCAGTAGTAAACATGGTACACCTCTTTTTCATCTTTAGACATCTTTTTGTTTCAACATTTCAAAGATAATTTTAACTTGCATGAAAATGTTCAACATAGTGTTGTTCTATAAGAATAAGGTAATAATAGTCCAATGTACATTTGTGTATCCCTAAATATTTTTAAATAGAATCGGTAATCACATAGAAGAACGTGCCTGTGTGTGCAATAAAGTACCATTTTCTGCCTGTGTGTGCCTAACAACAGAGACAAGTAGGTCAAGAACCCAATAATTGATGATAAAATCTTATACTTTTGCAAACCTGTATTGTTTTCTTAGTCTTTTAAAGGAACAGGCTGCGTTAGTGCGTTATACTAGTTGGGTTTGACCATTATTGTTGACATGGATGAAAGGTTGTTTTTTTTTTAATTTGCCATAAAAAAATTTAAAAAAAAAACTTAAGCCTGATATTAATTCAGAAATTTAAAGTCATTAGAATCAATGTTATAGAAGTTGCAAATCCAGAGAACATGAAAATATTTTTTTGAGTCTAAGGCTACATTTCTATTTATTTCATCAAGTCTAAGTTATAACCTAAGATGCACTAAGATGCACCATTTTGAGACTACTCACTGCCACCTACATTAGAGCTAAATTATTTTCATCATTTCATTATTTACAAAGATCAAGTTGTATTTAAACTGCACTAAAGGGATAGAATTTAGGGCGTTAAATTAATTTTTCCCAGCACTTGGATGTATAATTACAAATTAGGTGCTGCTATAAAAGTTTTAAAATAAATAATACATAAAGAACAGTAATGCATTTGTTGTTATATTTACTACTACTTAAGACACTTCAACTAAACTCAACTACTATGTTTAAATTTAAATAAATATAAATGCTCAGAGAAATATTTATGTTATAACTTCTGACTCACCTTTTGTTTATTATGGTAAACAATATATCCAGAGACACAGATGATGACAGCAGTTAAGAAGTAAGCTAAGAAATGTCCTGATCCAGATTCTTCTTCTTCTATGTTACTAGCTTTATTATCATCTGTTATTTTGTTTACTTTAGCTTTTATTGAAACTTTATCATCATCTTTATTTTCTCCTTCAACTTCATTAATTCCCATTCCATCATCCTTACTGTTTTCATTTTCTCTTGGCAAATCGGTAGAAGAAAAGAGATCATTTTCATCAGTGGGTTCTGCTGTTTCTGCTGGATTCTCATTTTTATTTTCATGAGACTTATCACTTAATGAAGATGGTTCTGTTTTCCCTAAACTTTTGTTCCCCTCAACTTTACTGCCTTCAGGTTCAACACCATTCGATGAAGGTGATCCGGGCTTCTCTTCATTTTTGTTCTGTTTCTTATCCCCTTCCAATACAACATAACTGGGTGAGGGTTCCACTGTTTTTTCATTGTTTTGTTTTTGAACCTCACTTTTATCAGATGGCTTGGAAGTGGTTTTGGTTTTGTCTGGATCTATTTCTCCGGCATCTGGCTTAGGTGTAGTTGTTACATCATCAGAGTAGCCTGGAGTTGTTTTATCTGGCACTGGGTCACCTTTCTTACCATCCCCAACATCTATTTTGGTTGTAGTAATTTCTTCCTTTATGTCTGAGTCTAATGGGACATCATCTGTGCCACTGGATGATTGAGGAGTTTTATTCACAGCACCTGAATTATTGGAGGGTTTAGCTGCTTCTGATGGTGTCTTAGCAGTTGTTACTTCATTGGAGGTTAAATCTGCTTCAGTCTTTGAATCGACTGGTGCAGCAGTTTTTTCACTTTCACTTGCAGGTAAAGGAGGTGCACTCTCTGTAGTCTTCTTTTGTAAAACCTTCTCTGGATTTGATCATATAAAAGAATGTTATTAAAAAAATATTTTTTTTAAATTTAGCAATAGTCGCATAAAGCATTTTAACACAAAGCATCAAGTATGATCAATATCTAGCTCTTGCTTTTTCATTCGCTTTTTACAACAGAATTACTTGAGCAATTAAAAAATAAAATTCTATTTACCTGGTTCTGGAAGGTGACAATGTTCTTCACCCAAGAAAATACATACAGCAGCAGCCAATGCCCTACAAATAGGCTTCAGTTCAATATGAGTGTTACTTAAACATAGCTTTTGGCAGACATCAGTATTAATGTTCTGTGAACTATTAGGTTTTGATGCAAGCGCAAAAGATGTGCAAATACGATTGTCTGTAGAATTGTTCTTACTGAAGGGTGATTTGTTAATGGATTCATGAGTAAGAAGCATTTTCCTCGTCGAATCACTAGCACACATACTAAGAGATGTGCTGTAAAAAAAATAACAAAGTGGGTATGCCTCAGACATATTGGTTAAAATCTTGCAAGGTTGAAGAACTGACTCTGCTGAGGAGTAAACTGAAGGCTCTGGAAAGCTACAATTAAAGCTAGTCCACTTTTTAACAACTGTGTCAAATGAAACAAATGAGCCAGCTACATAGCTGAAAACTAGAAACACAGCAATAAACAGAGCTCCTTGTGCAGTCTTCATTTTCTTCCTGTTAATTTTTCAGCAGAAATTCACTCGCCCTGAAATGAGTAAACATATGTTATTTTTAAACAATAAAAAATGTATCAAATATTTAAAATGAATTAAATCATAATAAAATAAATTATAATTAATAGGGAGGAGGGTGTAAACTTTGTTAGTCTCTTTAAATCACATCATTATTTAATGTGAAATATCTAAGAAATATAAGATCACCCATTTTGTGCCAGAAAACTTGTGCCATTATTTTTACTAGAAAAAGACCTTTTTATAAAGGTAACTCATTACATGTGAACACCCAATTAAATTTCGGGATTCCAATCACAATTTAACTATATAATATATATATATATATATATATATCTAAAAAGCTAGAGTATTTTTTATAAATATTTTATTCCCCTTTGGAGAAAAAAAGTCAGCAAACTAATAGAGTAAAATTCAATATTTAGCTTGGTGACCTTGTTATAAAGCAAAAGAAGTGTGATGTTTCTGTGCAGAACTGTTATAATAGAGTACACTAGGAGTCTAGTTTTGTTTATCTAGGTGGAATGTTATGTTTGTGCTTCAAGTGATAGTGAATGTGGAAGACTGGGTCAAGGTTAAAAGTTCAATTTTCAACTGTGGAAGAAGAAGTTCATGTTGTATGAGAAATTGTAGTCTATTAACTGTGAACTTCTGAAGGCATTATAATCATATATTCAAGGCAATACTAGTGAAGCTGGCCACCTGTCCTTAAAAGTGTCATTGTTACGATTTTGTTCTTTATCAAATAAATAATTTTGTACTATGTAAAATAAAAACATTTAGTTCTTGATAATTATATATAATACAAGCGGCAAGGTAGTGTGCCATTCCATACTTCTTTCCTTCAGTCATGGTTACAGTAGCTTTTTTGGTATGCTTTTGTGAAGTGCGCATTTCATGCGTGAGGGGGTAATGGGTGCACCCTGGGTGTCAGCGCCCAGGGAAACATGTTGTTCTGCGGCAGTTCAAGTTAGTTACACGACAGGAAAGAGGGAAATCTGGGCAGACATCCATAAGATCACTGCGCGAACACTAGGTACCGAGTATGAGTATGAGCTAGTTATTAAATACACATTTTTTTTTTTACAGTGACATACCTTACAAGATCGATTATTTATTAATTACAGATAATTTAAATAAAATTAATTTTGAGACAAGAAACTGAAACAAAAGCTTGAATAACTTGTATTTCAATGATCGGTTGGACACATTTTCAAACATTGAGCATGATCTAAAAACAGAGACCAGGATTACCCGATTATTTCGTCTTAGCAATTGAATATTGACATGTTTCAACCCCAAAAAGGTAGACGTAGGTAGAAAAATTTCTGGTAACCAGTAGTAAAAGCTATTTCCAATTTCTCAAAAACGCATATGGCAGGAAACAGATTGGTACCGCAAAATGCATATTCGGTCTTCGCCGTTCATAAACTTTCTAACCAGACATCGTTCGGGGATTTTGTTTATACTGATAAATAGAGCAAGGTTTTTACAAGCTTCGTTAGCAACATTTTTGTGGAATTCGTTTTTTATGACATTTTGTGCCGCGGCGAAGGATGCGAAGTATGCAAATCTAGACGGAATGGATCTACTTGGAAAGTACGTGTACTGCACTAATGAGGTAAGAAATAATATTTTGTAAAAATAACTATTATTTTTTTATGGATTTTTCATTAGAAATGATTGCTGTAAATTATGAAAGTAAAAAAAAGTATATTTGAATGCGTTTTTTACTTTAATTTGAACAAAATGACTGCCGAAAATTACGACACATCGGCGTCGCTGAAAGCGGGAATTTCAGTTAATTTTTTACGGATATAAAATTGTATTTTTTTACTCCGAAGCATGTATTTAAATAACAGTTAAGTTAAATCTATTTAATTCTGTAAAATATAATTATTATTTTGCCGTAGATACTTTTTTTTATATTTTTAATGATTTTCTGTCGCGGAAAATCGGTATTCGCACCATCATCATGCACGCACACGTAGTAAAACTAGACTTATCTTTAAAACACGAGAATCTTGAGTACACTGCGAATAACAAAGTTTTTAAATTTTAGTTTACTTTTGACTTTAAGCCATTTGTTTTAAATCGAAATTAATTGATAATGTAATTATTTCAAAGTAAAAATTTTCCGTCGCAAATTGGCTTCTAACCTTCGCCACTGAACCAGCCTACGCACGACATTCGCGCGAGTCTGTTTCTTCGCAATAGTCTGTATAGTGTCGAGGGCTAATTCTAAAAAGAATCGAGTCCTTACTAATCTAATGTTTATTAAAATTAGGTACAATTGTTGGAACGCATGAGAAATAACAAATTAATATTTCTTTAAATCTATAGCCAAAAGAAAGTAGAACTTTAAAACTCTGTAAATTATGAATCGAGTGACGGCTGTCGTGAAAACGGGAGCCATTTTACTCTTTTTTTTTAGGGTGACCTACTTTTATTATATAATTTTAAAATTCATCGATTTGATAAGCAGCTGAGTAGCTGACTACGCATGCGATATGGCTGGCACGTTTTGGGATAGGGATCGAGTACACCATAGAATTTTTTTTCTTAGAACTAAGCGTATTTTTTTTTAAAATCAAAAGATACTTACATATCAGTTGTTGATTTCAATTTCATTATAGATCTAATCACTAACTTCAGTTTTTAAAAGTGATTTTGCTTCTAGAACTAGCGTATTTTCAAAATTACGTAGATTCTAAATCTAGATCTATTCACTTACTATTTGACAACCGTGTCAGTAAAATGAGGTCACCGCTTCCAGATTCTTAGGTTTTAATTATGTTTGTCATTTTGATCTATTATAAGTAGCATTAAAACAACTGCATCTATTATCAACATTGTTTTTATATGCCAGTTCTAATTATACATTCTGTTCATTACCAATTCTAATGAAATCGTATCAGGCCCTAACACCCTGTTCACCTACACTGACACTAGATCTACACTTGAATGACGCCACAGACAGTCGTAACTTTAAATTAATGTTCAAAGTACTAAACAATTATAATTAGCCATGTAAATGCTGCAACTATATTAAAAATTGGCTTATAGACATATTTTATTAATTATGTTTTTTATATAGACCTTCTATATTTAACTCTGTTATTTTTTTCTTCCCCAGAGTGTTTCTAAAAGCCAGAATTTTAAAGGGGAGGGCGGTCGTTTTTTTTCTCAAGAATAATTATAGAAATAAGCTATAAACTGGTATATTTTGTAAAGTTTGACATAATTACAAATAAATGTATGCCTAAGTGACATTTCTGTGTAATTATATCGTTAATTTTGTGAATTTCGTACAATTTTTGGACCTCACTACATTTAGATGTAAAAAAAAATCTCAGTTGAGTGAGTGTGGTTAATCTACATTTTGAACGTGATGTAAATGTCTAGTGCTATTAATTTTTATATTTTTGAATTCCTCGATTGTTAAGCAACAAAATTGATATATAATATGTCAATATTTGTTACTTTGAAAATTGGCGAAAATCGACCCTAAAAGTAGATGCTTGAGGGTTGAATCTGTTTCCTGCCATATGAATTTACAAAGTACTAACATTCCGCACTATTATACACGCATTGTTTGCTGCTCACTTGGTGCACAATTCTTTTTTCTACTAGATTCTATTTTATTTTAAAAAGTGAGTAATTAAAAATTGATTAAAATTCATGTCTATATTGAGAGATGTCATCCCCCATTGTGATATATAAGAATATTCAAGAAAGTTTAGGGGAGATCACGCCCGGTTTCTTTTTAGATTGCAATCCGATTGAGGATTGCTTTCACATATGCACAGCAAATCAAGAAATAATGTATAGATCTAGGAGTACTGTAAGAATAAGACTATGGGCCTAGCTAGGTAATATTAGAATAAGGCTACTAAAGTATAAAAAGTATTATTATTATTATATATTAGTTAGTGTAGCCTATTTATAGAATTTAATTTGAAATATTGGTGTGATAGGCCTAATGTGTAATGATTAATGATACAACCTACACTGTACATAGGCATTTTGTTGAAAATTTCAAAATGATTTTTTTTTAAAAAGTGTCAATAATTCTATTTTTAGGAATGACATAAAAAGTCATAAATCTAGCCAAATCATTGGATTCTTGGGCTGCACACTTTTTCCCGCACTTCGTTTTCACCAAAAGAGATTATAATAAAATCGCATTATTGAGGGGTGATCATTTTCACCAAGCTCATCTCATAAAGACCATAAATTATTACCAGTGTGTAAAATTAATGCTTTCAAGTTTTAAATAGACATAGTCTGGTTTAAAAAGGGAGCGGTACTTTACAGTTACTTGATTTGAAAGACAAGAAGAAAATAAAGCTAGTTTCACTAAGGCGCTGCTTGCGAGACAAACAAAGAAATTAGGTCAAAAGTACTCCTGACAATTCTTAAATAACATACTTAAATAGAAACGGATAGTTCCGATTTCTAAAATTGACGATGGCACTTCATAATCATTAGTTTTATCCCTCTACCGCGTAGTCAGGCGTAGTGAAAGCGAAACTGGTTGCCAGTGAGAGGCCACGAAAACAACAAACCCGGAAGCTGTGAATCGAACTGCCTACTGTACAGTAGTACACTAGTGTCTAGTCCTAGTACCAAAGTAAGTATTTGTATTAGTAATTAGTATAAGAGTTAAGTCCAGTACAGTAGTAGACTTGACTAGGGTCTAGGTAGGTGTTAAGTGTTAGTACTTGTAGTGATGGTAGTGGTAGGCCTACTTCAATACAGTTACACTGTCACTAGTGTCAGTGGTGACTGATACTACTTATATAGTATAACTATATACTATACTCTTTATAGTGAAAACACGAAAAGTATTAAATATGTAGATCTAGATCTGTGTCATAAGTCATGAGTGGCTGTCACTGTTAGTTTCACTGACTGGAAAGAGAAGTTTTAGTTTAGAAAAGTTTAAAAAAAAAATAACTTGGAAAATGAAAACAAAAATCTACGCTCCTTTACAACAATTTTCAATTCACGTCGTAAATTTACGATATTATAATAATATTAGTTAGCCTCAGACATTATGCCTATTTAAATAACACATTATTATTAAAATTATATTATTTTGAGATCTACGTACTCTTTATTGAATTATTCTCTTGCCACTCCTGTTCAACTACTATGGCTACGTCTACGTAATGATCTTTTCGTTGTTAACAACTGTTGTCTATACACCGAAATGTTAAGAAAAATGCTAAATTGATTTGAGAATAATATAGATCTATCTAGATCTAGATCTAATCTAGATCTAAATATAATTTAGACAGACCTAAAACATTTTATAAAAATAATTTTTCCACCTCAAATTGAAATAAACTCTCTCTTCTAACTAGATTTATCTCTTGTAGCCTAATAGGCTCCCGTCATTAGGACTCCCGACAATAAGTCTCCCGACGAAACGGTCTCATATAAAATTTATCTTCATTATATGCTTAGGTTATCAAAACAAAAACGGCGTTTGTCCTGTAAACATCATTTATAAAATACATTCAACTTATGTGTTGGCTTTTAAGCAACAGATCTTCACTGAGACTAATACAACATATTTTTTTGTAATGAGTGGCACTTAACTGAAGACCTCATTTGTTTATGAATTGTTGTAGCTCAAGAAGAAGTTTTTTTTTTCATTCAGGCATTTAAAAGAAGTTATGGTGATATTGGAGGTAAAACTGCGTATTGTTGGGGGCTGGACAAAATGGTCATGATGTATTTGTCGTTAACCCATTCGTCGCGAGTCAGTATGTCGGGAACAAATATGTCTGGAGCCTATTTGTCTGAAGCCTATTGCCGGAGCCAAAATGTCGTGAGCCCATTTTGTCGAGAGCCAATATGCCGTGAGCCTATTTGTCGGGGCCCTTTTGTCATGGACCGTTTTGACGGTGTACCGTAATGACGGTGTTACCAACCTAGACGTTCAAGCTAGAATCAGCAAGAAAAAGATATGGTACTCAGACAGCCAAGAACAGGATCCAGGGCTTGCTGCATAAACTGTTTTTTTTTTTAAGGCGTACTTTTTTTGGCAACGTGTGTTATCGGTCCTATGCTTCTCATGAGCGAAATGGGATAAAACAAACAAGAAAAAATATTTTAGAATATAATTCGTTCGTGGTAGATGTTATAAAACCAGCTAATTTCCAACCCTTAGTATAATGCATGACTGTATCATATATATTATACAAGCAGTGGCCTCACATTTTGGAATATTTAGGGCGTAAGAAGTTTCACCTTATAAAATCCATTCCTTCACACCAACAAATGTATACCAACATCACAAAATGGATAGAACGGTCAACTATTATTATAGATGCATCACAAATATGTCGATATATTGTTTGTGCATGTTTAAATATAAAACATTAGGAAAAAAGGCACCATAAAAGCGTGCATTACTAAACGGATGTAGGCTACATGTAAACATTTGCAGCAGCCATTATATTGAAATAAGAAAGAAAACAAAACAGAAATATTTCTCTTGGTAAGCGATCGTACACATAATCAGCGTTTCTTTCAGACATTCTTCTTCGAGGAAGTGCTGAAACATGAAACTTTAGGGGGTGTGGGAGGCCGGACAATATTTCCGTGGGGCGGAGCACTAGTTGAAGTATATATTTTGTATAAGGGGGGGGTGGTGGAGGCAGCTGCCTAAAAGAAACTGCACATAATTCACATATTATATTGCATGAATGACTATTATATTATCTAAAATAGGCGAAGGGGGCTGCTCGCATGTACCGAAATTATTGTCAGTATCAGTTCACCGTAATTATTTTTTTTAAATGGGGGGGGGGGGGGGGTTCACATGTCTCATTTCCAGGTCTTCATTAGCTATCGTCTATTTCACTTGCCCTGGGAGTTCTAAGCTAAGGGTTCTCTTGTTGGGATGGACGTCTGCTCCATTAGAGTGGTCGTGTCTTATCCAGTTCTGTGTAGCTGTGATCTCTAGCGTGTTAAACGGCTTAAGCAGGAATTTGTCCTTGTGGGGGGGGGGGGGGGGGGGGGGGGGGGGGGGGGGGGGGGGGGGGGGGGGGGGGGGGGGGGGGGGGGGGGGGGGGGGGGGGGGGGGGGGGGGGGGGGGGGGGGGGGGGGGGGGGTCAAAACATTTTTCATATATATATATATATATATATATATATATGTATGTATGTATGTATGTATGTATGTATGTATGTATGTATGTATGTATGTATGTATTATATATATATATATATATATATATATATATATATATATATATATATATATATATATATATATATATGTATGTATGTATGTATGTATGTATGTATATATATATATATATATATATATATATATATATATATATATATATATATATATATATATATATATATATATATATATATATATATATATATATATATATATATATATATATATATATATATATATATATATTGACCTGCCACTAGACAGGAGGTTCCGGCAAGATGGTGTTTTATTTTCTGGGCATGACGTCCAACCGTTGGGTTGTTGTGAACTTCAGCGGCGACCATTGGGAGCACACGGCCGTGACAAACTACGGACCGTGGTCTGCGTGTAAGCTCGACGGGACCTGTTACCACCCGTGGGTTGTGTTAGAGGGAGTTGGTGAGTTTTGTGTGCACAATGTATAACATGAAAATATGATGTTTTTGTCAACCCCACTGTGGGATGGGATGATCGGATGGTAGAGCGTACGACTGTTTTCCGAAAGACTTGAGTTCGAATCCCGGGTTGGTGTAAGTAAAAAGTCCTCGAGTCCACCCAGCTTAAATGGGTACCTGCCTCAGCTTGGGGAAAGTAAAGGGCATAGTGCAGGCAGACCACACTATCCCTTCATATACCAAGGTCCATGAAACAGGTCAACTTTACTTCAACTTCCCCCTTGGACCATCATGTTTGAAATAGTAGTTCACCTCACCCAAACCACTATCCATTTTAACACTACACCACCATACTACATAACATAAAATTTAGTACTACAAAACAGTGGGATTTTTTAAATAGACATTACATTTTAGAGAAAATATATTTATCCCAGACCAATGCAGGTAATGTAGAGTACAACAAAATGAGAATAGATAAAAGCGCATACAGTGTTGCATATCACCACCGTTTCACACATGACAAATATGTGGGCATATAACGATATGGTAAACCACCCCCTCAACTAGCAACAGTGGCGTAGCGAGGTCGGGTGTCACCCGGTGCGGCACTTAATGGTGTCACCCCCCCCCCCCCCAGAGGCGTTGTGACCCTTCCCGGGGACAAACTTTCAAGTTTTCGATTTGCACCCCCCCCTCAAACTTTCGATTTGCACACCCCCCCCTCCCTCAAGTTTTCGATTTGCACCCCCCCCCCCCTCAAACTTTCGATTTGCATCCCCCCCCTCAAGTTTTTCTCTCTATATTTTGCTATTTTTTGCCTTGGTGTCGCCCCCCCCCCTTAAATGGTGTCACCCGGTGCGGTCCGCACCCCCCGCCCCCCCCCCCTCGCTACGCCCCTGACTAGCAACATCAAGACATGTACTAGATTGGAATCCCCAAAGGAAAAGGGAAAGTAGGTTGGCCAAAACAAACTTGGAAAATGTCAGCTGTCAGTGAAGCAGAAGCAGCCGGAATGCCGTGGACCCAACTTGGAGGAATCGCCCAGAAACGAGTACGATGGATATGTTTGGTTGCGTTCCTATGCCACCCAAGGGGTCCACAGGAATGGTGATGACGAAACCTACCCTTTCGTGTTGTATAATATGTGCTTAATCTCTAAAGTAAATTACATATAAGTAAAATTTGAAATGCACCAGGAGCTTAGAATGTAGACGGTTTAACAGCTCTAAAAAGGCGGCTATAAAAATGACGCTGTGCATAAAGGGAGAGATGGGCCAGACTTCGCTGTGATGTGTGACTTGGGGGGGGGGGGTGGGGGGGGGTTGAAGGTTGGCGTGGAGGAAAACTGGCTAAAATATAAAATGACGTGACGTCATGTATGGGCGAACTCGGCTGCTGTGGGATGGGAAAGACGACACAACTGCGCATGTTTTGTCCTATGTTAGGCCAATCACTCAGGGAAAACAATTAGTAACGTCGTTAGTTGGTCAATCAAGCTCTTTGAAGTCACATGACGTCGTTGGTCGCCATAAAAATCTTTTAAATAGGCCTACATTTTGCGACCAAAGTTTATTTTGTTTTACAATATAGGCTCAGGCTATAGCTAAATGGTTGTTTATAAATGCTCTCACAATTTTAAATTTTCGTTCTTTCTGTACAGAAACTATATCTATTTATGAGTACCTTAGTCTCGTTAATGCTTTAAAATAACACCGTATTTCTAATGTTGCTGTTTTACTAAAGGGACTATACAGACATAGGGGGTCATCCATAAATGACGTCACACTCGTAGGGGGGAGGGGGGGTCCGTAATTTTGTGACGATGTGTGATGGGGAGGAGGGGTTCAGATGTTGGGACGTCACATTTTTGTATTATAAAACAGCAATGTTAGAAAACTAATTTTAGGCGTTATTTCGCGTTTTAGATAACTGTTTTAATAAATTGTAATAGTTTAGACAAGATTTTGGAAAAATATAGATGTTTAAAAAAAATTCAACTGCAATTTTGAGGCGGGTTGTAGGTTGAGGTGTGAGTCATTTTAGGGGGGTCTGGCTTTTTGTGACGACGTGTGACGGAGGGGAGGGGGGATGTAAAAATCGTCAAAAAATGTGTGACGTCATTTATGGATGACCCCATAGGCAGGCTTATGTCAGACATAGGCCCTGTAGAAATCCTGACATATTGTAACCTAAGAAAAAACCTGAACAGCTGTTAAAAACGCCCACTAGTATCTATTTAATCATCGTTACTAGCTTTTACTTATATGAAAATTTAAAAACAAAAACAAACCACGTTTCCCAAATTCATCAGACAAAAGTTCAACAGAAATGATTCAAATCATGTTGGCAATTTCGGCAATACTGTACATTCTTGGATTGTTATCGATGGTGCTTCAGATGTGCATCCCAAAACAATTGCAGCGATACTGCAACTCGGTGGATAAAATGGTGATAGTGGAGTTCCTGTTTCCAATAGCAGGTAATTGATTTCGTGTGCTCATTGTAAGAATTTTTAAAAAAATAGTATGCAATATGCTTAATTGTGGCTATAACAAGCTATTTTACTGATGTCACGCTGACCTACGTGTTATTGATGCTAGGTCACACTGTGGTGTTACTAATGTTAGGTCACGCCGTGGTTTTATTTATTAGGTCACACTGTGGTTTTATCGATGTTAGGTCACACTGTGGTGTTATTGATGTTAGGTCACGCTGACCTAAGTGTTATTGTTGTTAAGTAACACTGTGGGATGCAACTGATGTTAGGTCATTATTTGAAATTTGTTACTGGTAGTATATCTAGATAGCAATGATTCATCGTTGGCAGCAGGAGTCTGCCTACCAACTAGATTACGTATGATGTACATGTATTATTGTAGACCTATATATCATTATATTGTAAATTGTAAATGCAAATGAGATGTAGGACTATGTAGATGTTAGACACTCTTGTTGCGAGTTTAGGACGGGGTCGACCTTGTATGACAACGTGGATTTATAAATAAAACGATCTTATACTGATACAAATGACTAACAGTACACGGATAGTTTCAATGCTTGTTTTATTGCACTGGCTAAATACTTAATAGACGCGGACGAGCACTTTTCACAACGAATACAACGATTATATTCACGACGACAGACGAATACTCTCAACGACAGGCAAGTCATTAGCTAATATCTCTTGCACGAAAAAGAATCAGTGGATTTTGTTTACGCAGTTGTCGGTCCTGCACTCTGAGTTATCTTTCTTGGTGATGGAGCTGTTAATACGTTTTGTGCCTGGCTCAATTTCTAAACCAAGCCTACTTAGTTCAATTACTTAACTAAATAATAAATACATGTAAAGGTTGTATTCTGTTAGTAACTTGTCAAGCAAGTGATTACACAGGTACATACAAGTAGGAAGCTGACCTTTTTCTGCGTGTTGTGATTAAGACAAAATTGCTTTCCCATATTCATAATGCCTCATTATATTTTAGGCCTATTATGCTATATTATACTTAATAATCTTTGTGAGTATGCATGGAGACTTTTTAAAATCATTAAATTATTCAGCGAAATAATTATTAATTAATGACTATGTGAACCACTACATGCTGCTTCATTATCTCCCTCTACAGCTATCTCAAGTTTCACATCCACTCTATTGATGGGAGGGTTAAAGGCCAATGTCATCGGTCAAGGCCAGCAGATGGCCCAGTCCAGCTCAGGTTTCTCTTTAACATTAGTGTCCATCCTCCTGACAGTGGTGGGCATTGTTTGCATGATCCTAAACCGTTACATTGACGGAACTACCAGCCGGTCCCTGTACACAGATCGTTGGTCCAGGGTTATATGTGACAGAAAGCCAGGGAAGTTCCATGTCAACGCTGCTCAGGTGAAACTCGCAGATCAAGTTCACACTCCAAGTTGTGGTCATGTGAACAGTAACGTTAGCAATGATGAGCCAAATCTAAGTATAGTAGCACCCACAGATATTGATATCAAACTTTTTTTTAAACAAACGAAAAATATTGGGAGACCCATTTCACCAATGGTGTCATTAAATCAAACCAGTGAACTAGCATAGCTTAAGGAGTAAAATCAGCTTTCAATTGAGTATTCACATATAAGATCTCAGATGTATTAAAAGTAGGAAAACATGTAATATGTGTACAACTCACTACATAGTGCTTAAAGTAGTCAGTAGCTTCGTGCAGAAACAAGCAAGGTAGAGCTTTAAGTAGGCTACTTGGTATAATGTGTACAGTCGTTTTTTTTAATAGACGTTGCAGATGTTCTTAGCTTTAGTCTATGAAGTACTGGCATTGTTACATAGAACACTGTTGTAAGGGTAATGTACCACACTGTTTGAAAGATTTCACAAAGAAATTCAGTGAAAATATCAGCTATCTGATTTTCATTGATTAAAACATAAACTTGTAGCTTTCTGCTTTACAGAATGAATTTGCCATGCACAAATTTGATATTGTATATAGAGTGAGTATTTCGAATGGATTTGTAAGAATTGTAGAAATATTTACCAAAGTACCTGTAACTAATTAATGTTTGTTACAAGCGGTTTATATTTTGAAAAAGAAAAATTTCGTTAATTAAATTTTTAAAAAAATATGCTATAGATTCTACTTATAACATGTACTGAAGTTTCAATTGGTAATATTTACACTTAATTGATATAAAAATAAAGTGTAAACAGATTGTTTATGTTTAATGCAGTGAAGAAAAATGTTGTTGCTCAAGATACCACAATTAATATAAAAACATGACAGAATGACTGACTGGTTCATTAGTTCATAGAGTATGGAATATAAAGCGAATAAGAATTATGAAATTTTGAATTGATTTATCAGTAGATTTTTGTAGCTATTTATCAAACCTAAGCATCAGAAAAAAAATTATTTTTCAATAATTTTAAATATATTGCAGGTATTGAAAATTAATTTTTAAAATTAAAAAAGCCTTTTATTTTACAGTAAACATTTGTAACTGTATCTTTTAAATAAAGTATATATAATTTTTAAAAAGGAAATAAAAGTGTGCAAATGTTACATTTACTAAGTGAAGCTATACAATGCCAGTCTGTAGATTATTTTGGGGAGCACTTAAAAATTGTAGAGAATTGTAGATCTCATGATAAATAAAATAGTATCATGTATTAGGATATTTTTGTGGTACATAAAAATGATATTATTCTTAAATAACCCCTAAACTACAAAGCAAGTCCAACAATGTGAATCACTATCTTTCTTTGGATACTAAAGTTCAACAGAACAAGATCAGATGACATTTTATACAAAGTTTATTCTTTAAACATTAAAGATATTAGAAGAAAATAAGTTAAACCTTGCACCAAGAACTTGAGCTCTTAGTTTAAAAATTTGACATTTAACTTTGTTCTTTCCAACATAGTCAAATCAGTTCAAAAATTAATTTTAGGTACAAAAAATATAAAGGCAGCATTACTAATCATGTTTTAAATATTTAGTGTTTTTTAAACTTTGTATCCAAAAGTTAGGGGCTTACTACTGTTAATGTAGTTTAATCATCTATAATTAGAAATATAAAAAAATGTTTTAATTCCGATTTATTTTAAAAACCTGATAAAGCATACACCAACAACTAAAGGGTTAAAACATTGTACACAGACTACTTTGTATTTACTGAAGCATAAGCAAATATTGGAAATTTGTGACGATATGGACATTTGCACATTTTTGAGTTACAAATAACATTTATAAATTATTGCACTAATTACTGTTCAAGTGATCACATTTTTTATTGTTGTGTATTGCTGTAGTAGGATTCAGCTGACTGTGGTAAAAAGATTGTTTATCAATGTTGATGGTATGACTTCCTTTTGAGATGAAAGCTGTTGCAGTATAAGTCCAATTTTTGCTGATTTCATCTGGACAGAAGACCATAGACTTTGATTTAAATTACTTAACTGGTCACTGTGAAGTCCAGTCTCTTTGTCTGACTGAATGTGTGTCAGTGAGTTATTGTAGCACGTTATCAGACCATCTTTACAGATTGAGGTTAAAAGGTCAAGGCTTATGAGTTCCTCATTATTGAAGATTATTCCTTCCAGTAGTTGTAAACTTCGCTAAAAATTGAAAATAATTAGAAACTAGTTAGAAAAAATTTCTTTAGTGTTCAAAATATATAATTAAATTTGAGTTAAAACTGACAATATTCTAAAGTAATTAACAAAGTTCATATTAAAGATATATTATACGGTATGTGTGTGTTTTAAATGCATGCATTAACAACAATCTAAATTAAAATGTTAGAGAAATGGTGTGATCACGCAGTAGAGCACACAAGTGCTAATCTGAAATGTACTAGTTCTGCTTTCTCACTTGTGTCTGTGTGGGTACCTGACTCAAGCTAGAGAAAGTAAAAGTGGCTGGGGATAGAACAAACCACACTATCCCTTCAAATGTTCAAGTGACAGAAACAGGTGAACTCTAATTTATTTGCCTTATAGACAGTTAGGTCCGTAAGGGCAACTAAGTTGGAGAAGGACTAAAATATATTACAGAGAGGAAATTTAACATTGTTGAGGTGAAAACAATTTAAGAGTTTAAGTGAAAACATACAACAATAATCCCAGCATCTCCACTCGACAAGTTGGTGACCAGCAACTCAACCACAGAGTCGCAACTCAAGGTCGTACACTTTGATAGAAATGATGCCACACTGGATGGGGTTAAGTAAGCTTTGCCTTGACCTGTTGACCCTTGTCTCAGTATTGCTGTAACCAGGTTTGATTCTTCCTGCCAATCTGCTTCAGGGGGCAACCTTTACAAATAAAAGCAACATCAATATTTTAAGTAGTATTTCTTGTGAGTGACAAGTTACAAGTTGAATGAGGAGCCATCGTATGCAAAAAAATATGTGAGTTATGTGCCAGCACATTTACACTGAGCCTGGTGGTTTTCTATAAAATAGTGGAAACTAAAACTACAAATGTAAAACTAATTCCATATCAAAGTCCAGAATACTGTTATAGTTATAAAGTTCAGGTACAATGTTTAATACATAGTTTCTGGCTGAGTATTTTTTTAGAGAATATTATAATGGCATCCCAGTGTCAAAAGTAAGGTAGTATCTTATAACACTGGGCTCCAAATAAATATCTTATACATATAACTGTGTGGCAGGACATAGAACACATAACTGCTAACATGATAGACATAGGAAGTAAAAGTGGTTGCACATAGAACCGACAACATTTTATATGCTAAGGTTACTGAAACAGTTGAGCTCTACTTCATTAACCTTACACACCAAAAGTGTAAAAGGAAGCACTTTACTTTTATGTTAGACCCAGAAAAATAAATAAATCCAAAACAAACTTGATGGACGGGTCAGCTAAACTATCAGTATCCATAGTGAATTGGTCATTGTCAGTTGCATCATCTAAGCTATTGTCATCTTCATCATCCCCCCAGCCTCCTCCAGCTTTCCCTGGCTGATGTTTTTTTACTGGAACTAAAAATAATTTTAAAAGATATAGAGTAGTGAAATGTTACATCATAAAATGAAAAATAAAATTGTGTGCAATAATTATCCTCAGCCTCAATAAAATATGGGATAGTGTGGTGAGACAGGAGAGCATAAGACTGCTCATCTGAAAGTCTCAAGTTCAGATCTTGACTCAGTGTCTGTAGGATGTCCCTGAGTCAACCCCACTCTGGTGGGTACCTGACTTATGTTAGAGAAATCAAAAGACTATCCCTTTATATGCTGAGATCACAGACACAGATGAACTCTACTTCATCTGCCCTATTAATCACAAGGTCTGTAAACAACTCAATAGAATAAAAAAACAAATGATTACTAAATACTAATATACCATAAAATCTACTAAAAATAATCAAATTATCACTTACTGCTTTTGAAGTCAGTTTTGCTCGAATTTGTGTTAGACTCTTCTGTTTTTGAATGAAAGGTGTGGACTGTTGAGTCACAAACAACAGGGGGCTGGTAGTTACTTGTTGAGCTGCCTAGATCTAGTTTAGCTAACAATGCTGCTTGTCGATCTGCAGCTGTTTCTGACAGTTTAGCACCAAGTTTCTCAATGCCATCTAGGATTGTTTCCCCTATTCCTTCTATTTAAAAAAAAAATTGAAGAATGATTAATTTTAGTGTACTCAGGGTTGACATTAAAAAAAGTTATTTTAAAAAACAATGATAGTTGGATCAGAAGTTTTTGCTGTAAATATGAAGGTTTAAACACTATTTAAAGATTTTATGAACTTTTCCTGATCCCAAAGATTCAAAAAATTCTAAAGTATATTTTTTCAGAGCTAATAAATGTATTATATTTTGATAATTTAAAATATTGTAAACAAACTCTTTTATACTTGATTGTTGTGTTGGGCTGTTCCCAAAACCTTGGATTGCCCCTCCTGACCGAACTGGACCAAGACCACCTAAACATAAAGAAATCTTATTAAAACTTGAAAATACAAAAAATCAGTAGGGAATTTCAATGTAAGTTTGCTTTTTAATATCTTTTATACAGAGAATGGGGGAAGTTTTATAATGAAACAATCAAAGTCTTGATGTTTTACGCCTTCCCAAGTTGGAATAACACAAATTTTGCAATACTTGTCTATGACTGTTTTGCAATGTGTGCATGATAATTTTGTATCATATTCTTATGAAATGATGAAGCAGCATATTCTAAGAATGTGAAAAAACGCCTTCGTGCCTACTATTGTTACCGTAATTGAATAAATTGAATCAATTGAATTGCCTGTGTTGTCTCATTATACAAGTGATTTTGTTAAAAACTTAGCTACCATTTATATTGCCTAATTTCACAGGAAGTGTCATCCCAACCCTTACTGTTAATATATATGAATATATGAGACTGTTTAGCTGAGCTCACTCCCATTTTTTAAAATATAGTTTTTAAAAATATATTCTAGATTTTAAGAAACAATACAAACTCAATACCATATTTAAACTCTGTTGGAGGTTTTGTTCCATTATTGTCTAAAGAGTGAGCGCTTGAAAAATCTGCATTGTACAGCATTTCACATAGTTCCTGGAGCAAAATTTAGCCTCATCAGTTTAATTTTTATTTGAGATGTAAAACATTTGTAAATACCTACAGCATTAAAAGCTTATTAGTTTTTAACTCTCCCCTCGAAGTGAGGTGTCAGTTAATACAAAAGATCCATGATTTTCATTAACCATGTGACGAGATAACTTTGATACTTTGTCGCTACTCTAGATGAAAAAAATACCAATATTATACAACAGTAATGTAATGTTAAAATATCTAAACTAATACAAAATTGTTAAATAGTTATGTTAATGACATCTTATATAACTTTTTAAC